AAATTTCCCAAACCAAGATAGAAAAAACAAAATACTTTTCAATTATAAATACAAAAAGATATTCAACAGAACTAAACTAAAAAACGGTATCTAAGAATTTTTCAACGTTACGAATCAACGGTTGACGCACCTATGCAAATTACAGGCGCTGGGAGCTGACGTGACGCGTAATCATTTAAAACTCGGAGATCACGAAGGCTTGTCAGGAACCAGCTGGTGAAGCACGACAGGGGGACTGCGTACAACAGAATCGATGATGATGCTAACCGGTGTGTAAACTATGTGGATAATACCGGTAAATACTTGTATGTTGAATAACCTAGTTCGTTCTCTCTTCGTCTCTCTACCATTTATATTACATACAGTTTCTCTCTACCTACTTTATATTCAAGGGCTGTATACCGTATATAGTCTTTGGTATATTTTGCCAGTTGTCAACACATCGACCACAGAGCCACCTCAGCATCTCAGACGTGTTAGTATTGCCTCTATGTCCCAGGTGACCCAAAGAGGTGTATTCGGTGGACTACAAAACCCGCCAGCACCCTATATTGATCGGTTCAAACTCTGTCTGTTTGTGGTCGCTCATTACCGTCTATAATTTTTATCCGATCTTTACTAGATTTACAAAGCTCGTGGATTTTTTTTTTATCATTACCGTATTATATTTTAGGGTAATTATTCTTTTTTTACTGGTAAAGATTCAGAGTTCTCAGAAACTTCTAAAGGTTGTCAAAGGATGCTTAATCTGAGGTCTGAGGCGACATTGAGAATACATAAACAAAGGTGGATCTAGGAGGCGGCCAGAGGACTAAGGACCTCCTGCAATTTTAATATTTATAAATACTGTGGAAGTTATTTTTGCATATTTCCACTAAGAATCTGTGACTTTTAAATATTTGAACTGACAACTTGCCAACAATAGCAACTCACAGCCTCGACGTGAACAAGACATAAAGGATTCATATCTGCTTCCGACTAAGAATTTAAATTAAATATCTGAATTACTGAATAAAATTACAATGTCAAAACTTAAAAAACACCTTATACACTGAAAAAACTAGATATATTTTATGAAAACTTGATATATTCCACCAATATAATAAATTTCCAATATTTATATAGTATTTCTTAATCATTGATCCCTTTACGTACGGTCAGCTGGATCTGTGAATAACTCCTGGTATCAACTGCTTCATAAAACAAAACGAAAACATAAAATTACGATAAACAAAATTAAACCTTAGTCTCATAATTATAAGGAAAGTAATAACACACATTTAAACAATAACAATGGTCACTTACAACCAGCACCATCACCACCAAGCTACAGTTGCATAACACGTAAAATAAGCAAGAGGAATTGGAACTTTCTCAAATCTTGTGACAAAAGCAGAAAATTCCGGCAGGGTCTGCTATTCGTCCTATTTATAGTTGACCTGCTTAACACTCGTGTGGAGGAGACAGGGGCTCGCTTCACTATTTTTTTTTTCCGTATTTTTATTTATCGAGTAAGCAATACGTAGTCAGTTTGACCCTAATTGCCAACAAACTAGCTAAAAACTACGATGGTGTCTTTGTCTCATTGGACTGCCTAGTAACTCAGTAATGTCCAGTGCATAGTATTGGTTTCTACGAATATTTATCCTACCATTGGCAACGCGTTTCACAGTTGCTGCCAATGCTACACTGGACCTCAACCGTATCTCATTACTCTATGCCCCTAAATTAACAATACGAAATTGATATAAAAATTATATGGATTAGTTATTATGATCAGGCAATAAGTCTTCTTTTAATATGGAGGATAATTATGCCGCATCAAATGTAATACTCACCGTAGTGTAACAGTGCGTGAGTAACTAATCTTGCTAGGTGTTGCCTAGATTGTTTAACCTCATCTGTAAACTTAAGATTTTTGTTGTCGAAATTCACCTTTTTGTAGTACTATTATCACTCGTCTACAATTTATAGTAGTATAGATAGTATTGTATCGCCAATTGTACAAATTTACGTTATTTCAAGGGGTTTTCTTTTTAATTCCTCGCAAAAAGAGGTTTCTAGTTCATTAAGTTCACGCACTGACCAATTTTACCGAAAGCATGAATTAGATGCGAAAATATAATAAAAAAAATTAGATGCGAAAATTCACATTCCACGTTTTGTTAATCTATGGGGATTGAGCCCAGGACGGTAATCAATGGTGAGACCCAATGTCTGCCACCTTGCCATACATCGCCAAGCATGTTTCCATACAAGTAACATAGCCTTAACCTATCATGGCATAACCAATTTTGAGTCATCACCACAATGATTTGTTTTCCAAAGATATACCTGTATATACTGAAGAAGGCACTTGCGAAATCGTGAGAAAACGGGATCTAGGACAAATGGCCTGGCGGTATTCATTACATTACATATTGTAAGCTTAAATACTGTACTAAAAACAACTGATCTTATACAACAAACAATTTTTTTATCATTAACAATACGTCTCTAAACTACAACATGTAAAAAAAATACAGCGGTGATGCCACGATATAATTAATGGACAGTACATGTGACTGACTCAGTTCGTTATCACCCAATCACATTTCCATACATCATACATAACCGACTTTAAGACCAATTAGCCTGCACTCAAGATAGGTACACACACACACCAGCATCAAATTGATCCCATGATACTCAACTTTAAGCCACTAATAACAGAGATCAGAAGCCATCTATCAGGGCCAGCGGGTCTGACAGTCAGGCTTGGAGAAGTTCGGTGATGACGCAACAAACGGGTCGATAGCCGGGGCTCTCCTGTGAGGTTTCGACGAAGATGCTGCGTACAGTTGAACCATTGATGAATTTAACGCGAGATGTTTCTGCATGTTTTTAATAGCTGTTGTAAATGTTAGGTTATGGCTCCTAAGCAATGTGGTAAAATTCAAGCACCAATGATCTTTGACGGTATTTTCTCGCCCTTATTTCACTGAAGCTCCTAAGTATTTTCCATAAGCTAATTGATGAAAATATGTTAAATAAAAAAATTACAAATATTATCAACGGCATTGAGGACAACATGACAAACGTATTCCATTGCCTTACGTCCGTACAGTGTTAACTAAAACATCGTAGCAATACTGAATGTTATTCGGTGAAATGTGTTCATAGTGTCTGACTTATTTCTGTATTATGGCGTCAGGTTACGTAAATAATGTGCGCCCAAAGAATCATAGTCTATGGATATGACAATACTCATTTCACTCGCTCTTACAACATACAGGGTTTTCTCTATTTTACTTCAGAACTTTTGATTTTAATTCTTCAAACTCAAAAACGGATATTTAATAACCAAACGCCTGTCCGGACGTAGCAAGGAATGAACACCAAACTGACAACCAGTTTTGAGAGTATTCCACACTACGTATTCATGAAATCAACTAACATCGATAATCGTAACAATTTTGAACAATATTTCCCTACATACAAATCAGCATAAACAGTTATACCATAAAATCATGCAATCTACAATTTTATATCTAAAATGTAAACAGAATAGCCAAGACAATATTTACTGTATCTATTAAAATAAATACAATATCCTAACACCGAAATATGAATTCAGAAAAAATAAATATTCTTAACTCATGCTTGGTCCTGGCCTGGGTCTGCCATTAGCGTCGGGACAACTAGGGTGACTATTAGCACCCACTACAACAGCGTGGGGCCCGCTTTAACGTGCTATATAACATGCATTTACTTCTCATTGAACAATATAATACACACAATATATATATATATATATATATATATATATATATATATATATATATATATATATATATATATGACCCGAAACAATAGCAACTGGGTCAATGGTTCGATGGGTAATGATGCTTAAAGTGCTTGTTACGTAAGTTCATCCTGGTAACTTCTCCCCAACCATCTCCCCGCCACCCATCACCCCCTCCTAACTTTTCCCCAACCATCTCCCCGCCACCCGGTACCCCCATACACTGATCTTACCTCAGCAACCAATGGCACCTGCAGAAGTTAGACCCACCCCCTAATGAAACGTCCTTTTCATATTGCACTAAAACCGCCATAGCATAAACATTAGAATTGGGTAAGCGGTAGTGACTTGCCTCTTAGGAATTAATCTTTAAAATGGTTGCCAAGCAGAAACAAAACAACCCAGACCTGTTATTGTGGCAGTTATTATTTACCCCCAAACAGATGAAATCCTAGAGACGGCGACCCTGCCTACCAACCAACCCACCAAATTTTACTCATTTAACAAAACTTACCTATAAATATATCGTAAAACTGAATATATCCTGTAAACCTAACCTACCCAACATCCCAGCAACCTTTTTCCCCAATTACCCAACATGTTATCAAGCTAACCCTAACAGCCCACGATACCGGCCCCAACTAACCCACCAGAGACATTATCCCAACAAATCATTACGCTAATCACTTACCTCAGTCGATGATCATGGCGGTAATTAGGAGAAGTGTGTGGGTGTTTGGAGGGAAGGAGAAAAGTACGAGTTTGTGGTGGGTTATTGAGGTGGGTTGGTGGGTTATTGAGGTGGGTTGGTTGGTTATTGAAACGGGGTGGTGGGTTATTGAAGTTATTGAGGTGGGTTGGTGGGTTATTGATGGTGGGTTATTGAGTGAGGTGGGTTGGTGAGTTATTGAGGTGGGTTGGTGGGTTATTGAGGTGGGTTGGTGGGTTATTGAGGTGGGTTGGTGGGTTACTGAGAGGGGCGTGGAAGGAGGATGGGGGTGGGTATCTGTGGATGGTGGGAATGAAAATGTGTGCTTTGAGTAGCCGAGTAGAAGAGTGTGCTGACATGTGTGTTTGATAGACTACAGTATACATGCAGGTGGTCGACACATGTGGGGCGGCAAGGTGCACTCACACCCTGCTTGGTGCACTGTGGTGGTGAGGAAGTGGTGCACCCCTCCCCCCCCCCAGGAGGGAGATTACTACAACCACTTACTCTAGAGGTATAGAGGTAACGACATGCAGCGGCGGTCACAGCAGGGGGCCCCACGCCCCTTGAGGTCAGCAGAATATAAGGCATGCACTGTAGATGGGCGCGGAGAGGGGCGGCGTGGGCATGGCCGAGGGCGTAGCTAAGACAAGGCCAGCCCATGGGAACTACCCTTCGCACGGCACGACCAACCTGATCCATGATGTGTGGGCGGGAGGGTGGGCGGGCGGGCGGGCTGGATGAGGGGAGCCTGAGGACAGGCCTACACCTGTACCCTAATGCGGGTACCTGGGAAGGAGCTTAGTAGGGCGTGACTGTTAGTCCACACAGGTCAGTCTTGGCCAAGCCGGGGTGGGATATGAATACTTGACAGCGTAATTGGTACAATTTTTAATGCCTTTAGTAAGCTTAATGCGATATTTATATGGAGTGGCACTAATTTGTACAACTAGGAATGATCTTGATAAAGGTTTATTCACTCTGCACTTCGCATATATCACTTGAAACCGGCGACCAGATGTTCTCGTCCAACAATGAATGTGATCGAGTGATGAGTGCTCGAGGGAACAGCGTTATGCCTCACAACACACGCCAGTGACTGAACCAACGACATGGCAGCAGACTACATGCACCGCGCAGACGGGGTAGACGTTTTTCCGTATTAGTTGCCAAGTCTCGGCGCACACACCAATATAACTCCCATGTTGTGATTTGTATTTTAAAGTCTAACATATTTTAAGATAAGTAAAAAAATTCTCGAACTAAGATTTTGTTGTGCTAACGTAACTTTAATCAATACCAGCATATTAAACATATTTTATCCCGAACATCTACCTCTACAATATTCCAAACTGTTGTACTGCAAATGGTGGTGTCTGGAGTCTGTTGCACCTTGCCTTCTGGGAGTTGGCTAAAAAAAAAAAAAAGTGCTGACTCCTTGGTCAGAAACTTATCACAGAAGCAAGAATAAATATTACATATTGATCGACGAAACACAATGTAATTATTTTCCAAATTGTATTGACTGGCATTACAACTACGCAGCGTTATTGGCTGCGGAAGTGTGAAGAATATTAAAAGTAAAATTTTCGATACATGTTAGTAGAAATTTGCCTTCAAATCATTGTAAAGGAATCGCTTATGTTTTAATTTCTTGTCATCAGTCTCACCACGCACGAAGAAAATTAAGCGAACGAATTGTTCTGAAAATTTACTGAACATTTTGAAAATTCCTTCCATTCTTCAGGAGTAAACCGCTTGTTTAACTGTGTATTAACACTCGCTCATTACTAAATGGTATTTCCGATACGGTAAAGCAAGAAGGGGAGGTTATCAATTAAATTTTCTAGTTCGCAAAAGACATGAATTACTTATCGACGTTTAAAACAAGACAGTAATCAATCGTCATCAAATATAAATTATTCAAAAAGAACAACAAAAACAGCGAAAAAATACAATGTCCAAAGTTAGACAACGAAGATCTGCAGCTCATCAGATATTGACAAACCCGAGGCGTCTGGCAGCCTGACAAAATCAATTCCGACACTCCTCGTTCATTCATTGTTGACACACGCATTTTTCTAACGAAATCCCACTCTGATTAAAGCGGTAAGCTACACAAGTACAGTGCAGTACAGTTCTGTTAAACCCTCTCAGTGAACCTGTTAGTATCAGTCTGTGGACTGTACTGTATATTTATTTAGACACACCAAAGGCTTGTTTTTATTTGGGTGTTTCATCTACTTTACAGTTGTTATTAAAAACCGTTTATCATTTATTTCCATAACCAACTTTTTTATACGGTACACAGTAATCGAAAATCTTTATTTGGCTACAGCTAAACCTTCTGAACCTTGCGTGACTGATTCAGATTCCCCCCCTCCCCCCCAGCGCGTCTGAGGATTTAGATTGCTGGGCTAGTTTATTGGGCACCCCCTTACATCCTGTGCAAGGTGAAGCGCAGAAGCGTTTACAGCGCCCATCTGGGAAGCATGCTAAGTTCATGCTTGCCTTTTTGACTCATGCATGAAGGGCGTAAAAGCCTGAAGGGTCATGGGTTTTGTCAGCAAGTTACATAAAGTGACAGAATGATGAGTGTGTGGGGAAAATTTCCATGTACAATTTATTTGTTTATGGCAAAGTGTGGCAGGTCCCTAGTAATGTCAAGTGACCAGGCCTGTCTCTAGGAGGAGAGATATCTGGTCAGGAAGGAAGAGGTGTTGGTAACGGCTAGGGACCTGTAGGAGGTCATAGGGCAAGTGAGGATGTAGTGAGAGAGGGTGTGAGAGTCGGTTGACCACAAAGTTTACAAACAGTGCGGTGAGGCTCAGGGTTGCCAATGTACTAGGCGTGGCGAAGTACAGTGGGGGTGGAGGTGATATGGTGTGGTGGGGCAGGTACAGTAGGGGTGGAGGGAGGCACATAGGCAATATTGAGGGACATACCTTTTAGTGTGATTGTGATGGCGTGTGCGTCGACATGCCGGTGGGGTACAGGTAGCCGGGGATGGTGTCCTCAGGTCCAATAGGTAGCCCTGGTGGAGACAGCACAGACACAGTAGCGGGCGCGGCTTGTGGTGGGTGGAGGACAGGTTGAGGCACCACGTGTCGTGAAGACGAGGCAGAACTTCGCTCGGGGGCAGCAGGACACACCAGGGCAGGCCCGGTAGGCGCTGCACCAGTAGTGAAGGCCGCCGGTGGTGGAGTAGGCCGTGGGCAGGGGGGGCTCACAGGAGGACTACCAGCTTGTGTCAAACCAGAAGAGAGGAGTGACTGGGTGGCAGGAGTAGGTGGGAGATGGTGGTACAGAGTGTAGCGAAGAGTTGTTCAATACGGTTGGTAAATTCTTGGAAGAGGGATATGATCTGTGTCATGTCACTGACGGGGGGTTGTGGGGGGGCACCGGTGGGAGCACAAGGCCTGACAGCCTCAGAGTAGAGACGGGGAGGTGGCCCAGTAGTAGTTGAGTTAGGAGACGGCCGGGACTGCTGTGTTGCAGCCAGGTGAAGCCAGGCAAGGGCAGGTGTTGTTGAAGGTGTTGCTGGAGACAGAGGGAACGCAGAGGGAGGCGGCCCGGTAGACTGGGGGGCGTTGTGGTAGACGCAGCCTTCGGGGAGGCTTTTCCCCTGGGACAGACGAGCGATTGGGGCATTGCCGTGAGTCAGCATTGTGCCGGCCGCCACAGTTACAACACCTGGGATCAACTACATAGCCCACACCACCCCTATTAAGGTGGTCTTTGATTTTCTGGGCACAGGCGACGGAGTTATGGTTACGTGAACAGAAGTGACATCTGGGACGATCACGACGACAGCAGGCAGTGAAGGTGTGACCCCAATCAGAACAGATAACACAAAATGCAGGCCCGGGGTGGAGGGAGGATTGGGTCAAGGGCGTAGAAGCCTGAAGAGTCAGTGGTTTATGTCATCAAGTTATTGGAAGCTCCAACAACTCCCTGAATACGAATTCGCAGCTTTCGACTTATTCCTTACCTGGAGCTGGCGAACGCTCGCCCCACAAAGGGTCGCAGCTCAAGGTTGAAGAAGCCGCAAGTCCAGAAAACTGTGAGGGCGAACGTTTTCGGAATGAGAGTTGTGAACTCGTGGAACAATCTGCCAGAGAGTGTTGTGACGGCACCGAGTGTGAGCTGTTTCAAGACCAGAGTTGACCAACACTGGAGCAGGTTCAGATATATTCAGGAGCCATTGCATGCCCAGTATCTGCCAAGAGTGCGTAATAGAGACGTGACCGATCGCCCAAGCGGCTAGCGAGCCGATCAGTGGCGTAGAGGATAAAAGTAAAAAAGTAAAAGTGTGATTGAGGCCCCCGTTGCAGAATATGTAAGTGAGCTTACGTTCACCGTGAGTATGTTAGGATGGAATAGTGTTCCTCAAAGTTTATACAAACAAATTACGGGATAATTTATATTCTTCGGAGAACTGTACTTTAATTCTACCTGTCGTTATCACCTTAATTGAAAGCCCCTGTTAAAGTTGGTTGCCATTGTATTGTATATTGATTAACGATATCAAATTCCCATGGTTCACTATGCTACTGTTTGATTATATGTATTTTCATCCAACAATCAGGGATATAGTTCTGTTTATGGTAACTGTGTAAATAGTCATTGTCCTCGGGGAAAATAAGCACTGAACTACTATAGAAAAGGAGTATGCAAAAGAACTGTCATTTCAACTGATTAATGTTATGGCTTAACATATATCTTTAGCTATACTTAAAATAAACACAGGAAATCTTCCCTACTATGATTGGTTAATGCATATTTTATCATAGTGTTTTTAAGGAAAAGTGGAAATAATAAGCTTTTTTTACGGTTTTCACGGATTATCATTGGTTTTATCGACTTAGTGTTTGTAATTATATACCTGGACTCACTATGTATATACTGAAACAATTATAGAGAATAAATATATTTGTCTATAACTTGTTTGAGCAGAATGTAAACAAACACAGCAGCAGAAGACAACCTGCAGACGACGCCTTAGTTCACACTCACATAATTCCATCTAACTCAAATTAATACAGAGAAACTAAACACACAAATTGATTATATTTAGTCTAATTTAAGTATTAATAACTGATATAAATGATAGTATAAATAAAAGAGAAACATTTGATCATCATTGGCTATCACTTGACGGGTGTTTACCTCAGCAGTCGGGCGGTCACCTTCACCCTCTCAACAGTTTTTACTACTGAACAAACAGGTTAGAGGATATACTAATGTTCTATCCTGTGATTATAATGCTGAATAACTGTAGATGTGATTTTTTTAACTGTGTGATTATAGGATTAGATGTGTGGGTGTGGATGAGGGAATTGAGATTGGTTTCATGGCAGACGAAAGTATAGTGATTTGCTTTCTCCTCTTGTTAGTGATTGATAATGAACTAACACCATATTGTCCTGTGATTAACCTTATAGTGGTATCTTTTATAACAAATAATAGAAGTGACAGTTATAATAAGACTATTTATATTAGTTTTTTTTTAATATACAGATTATTCACATGAAAGTCAGTTTTAAGGCCAGATGAATCTTAATTGTCAGCTGTTAGTGTGAGGTATCCAAGCCACTGGTATCTCAAGTCATTTATGTAAAAGAATTCATTAGGTTACACAAAACAAAAATAGATAAATCATTACCACAGGAGAATCACTAAATTAGTTGTTTTGGGGGAGACAAGTGAAAGGTAATTGGATGACAGCTTGTTCATGGTGTTCACTTTCATTTATGTTTTTGTTGTAGCTTAAAGGAGAAAAGTTGCTCTAGTATCTGAGTTTATTTACATAACTGTTAGGTTGTCTTGATTTTTTTTTTTTGATAATGTGAGTTTTCAGGTCATGAGAACGTCTGTGGCTATTTTTGTCATTAGTATGTTGGAATCACTAGTTACAATGGGCATTCTCTACAATATATCTCTCTTCTTGACTTATCTCTCAAGAAAAGGTGATAAAATAAGATACAGGTATAGTAATTTTTTATTATATGTATTATTAAACATCAATAGCTAAAAAAATATGCTCATGAAAATCAAGGAAAAAGAAGAAAAAAATACTGGAATGAGGACAACTAGCATCTGTGTGTGTACAGTACTATACGTCACATGAAAAAGGAAAATTTAATCAAACCAACTGACCTACCTAACTTTATCTCTCGAACGCCAGTCGGTTTTCTTCAACACGGAGAGAGCCTCGTCTACTACGGGGTAGCTACCTAAGATATGTTTTAAGATCATTGGGTTAGGTAGATCTTGTTTTGGTAGTTTGTTTTCTCTTTTATACAAAGGTTTTTTTATGGTTTACACATGAACAGATGTTAAATGTGGCGGGTGACAGGTGTCCAGGTGTGCTCTCACGAGGTTAAGACTTGACTTTTTCAATAAAACTAAATTCTGTAAAGGATGAAATATTAAGATGATTCTAGATGATGGCAATAATTTTCCTTCAGTTAAGCAATTGGTGTAAGTGATAAGTGACACTGCAATTAAAGTAAACTATTACCCAGGAAGGAATTTCTGTAGTAGGTAGTGGTACCAGTGTTGGAGCTGTGAAAAAAAAAACTTTGAAATAACAGTAATGTACCGGACTTAGGAAACGCCAAACAGATATTACTCCTCAGGCAATCAGTGAACTATATCAGGATTTAACAGGTACAAACTACAGAATATTTGGTACTCAACTTTCGGCAATACTCAGTGGTTTCTATTAGCTAAAAATCAAACGTATAATAGTTTAGTGATGGTGTTTGTCGGTTTGCTTAACATGATGCTGTGACTCATAGTGGGGCAGCCATCCGCTAGCTCCAGATATGAACGCTTGATTGAGTATGGCGTTTAAGGACTTTATAAACGTCTACCAAATCTTCCCTTACTATATACTGTCGTAACATAAACTAGGCAATTGAAGATGATGTAATCTCTCTTGGTATGTGATGTACTTAAGTGCCGGCACTAGTTTGGTGACCCTCCTTTGGATGTTTTCGATCAATTATCATTCATTAGCAAATCTCAAGGACCCAGAAAGAGTAATAATATTCCCAGTGGGGGAGCACCATAGTTTTGAAGAGCCTTATAATGGACGAACCATATAGGTACAGAATATCAAAGATCTTCATATAGGTCCTTCAAGTTTATTGGTATGAATCACCGACTCACAGTAATCGGAGAACTTAAGTTTGTTGTCAGCATAGACATTTACCATAGATCATTTGGTTTCAGTTTATGGAGTTTCTTCTCCTTAGACCAGTGATATGTCTCCCTGTTATTGGTACGACCGAGCTGCATCCTCTTGTAACGCTGAGTCTGTACCTTTGAAATATTCATAGTCACAACATCTTCACAGGTTTTGCAGAATGGAACTAGAATGTGCTGTCCAGAAGTATGCATGGGGTGTAAAGGGATCAAAGAGCAGTGTTGCTCAGCTAGCCAAAGCTGTTCAGCCAGACCTGGAAGTACCAGATGATGAACCTTTTGCTGAGCTGTGGATGGGCACACACTCTAGTGGTCCATCTGTTATTAAAGGTACAGTATTGTGTTATTTTATGATACTGTGAGACTGATTATTACATTACCCTAATATCAGGTTACCCTATTAATTATTTAGAAATTGAAACACTTCCTATTGCTTCACTATATGATACTTAGTTGCTTGTTGCTCAGGGGTTAAACTTGTCTCTTCCTAGTGTTTCTAAGCTTTTTCCCTCGATCTCCAGCCAGTGGATATATGAGGCGTCCTGCATCGTAAGGTGCTTTTAGGCCATCCGGGTGAAACCCATTTTTTTTTTTTTTTGGAAAACACTATTTTTGGCCTAGCTCTATATGATGGTAGTTGATAAGATCTCCTTACTAAACTGTAAATAAGGTTTAAAGCCCTTTGAAAATAGGGTAGAACATCAATTTGTGGCAGACAGGAAATTATGGGCTTGGCTTTCGCGTTGTAAGGTACTCTCATCCTGTCAGTGAGTGAGAGGAGCGGGCGGCCAATCACAGCTGCCAGCCTACAGCCTCCTCCCCCGTCGCAGCAAATGGCAGTGAGTGTCTGCTATCTACGCCCCTCCAGCGGGAGGGATCTACACTCTGATATCGATTAAAGTAAAAAAAAGCCATAAGCGGGTGGGAGTTTTGTTGCTTCAAGTCAACATTGCAACAACCCAGTACATTACTTCATGACGTACCATCTGCGAGTACAGTCCTTTAACTTCAAAATGCATAAAAGATTAATGCTGTATCTCTGAAACAACAGATTTATGCATGTTTGAAGTTGGAAAAACTTTAAAAGCAGTTTTCTCGGTTTCAAATTTGGGCGCAAATAACCCATACGATGCGAGGCGCCTCATATTCAGTAGTGTTTTGCAAGATTGTCCCTGTGTTTTTTACATTCCTTGTACAGTAGCTAAAATAACTATCTGTGCAGGTGGGGGTCGATATGCTCCGAAATTTTACGTGTAACTAGTGACAGCCCCCATATACTAAAATTTATCGTCCATGGTCTCATATTGTTTCCCACAAAGTATACACAGATAGTTGTTTTAGCTACTGTGCATGTGTGCAGTATATATATATTTTTTTAAAGAACTGCTTTATTTGGTTCATACCATTTATTGATTTATCTTTAACCTCTCAACTCCAGAAATTTCACTTGATAAATTATTTTTTGTAGAATTTTGACGATGCTTTTTACAAATTTATATTGAAATCGGATAACGTCAGACTCTATCAAAATGTATTCATACGAAAATCTACATTAATACAGGGACATTATTGTTGAAACATTATAAAATATTCTGGAAAGTGTTCTCTTTGACTTTTGCCTCAGCTACTGGTGAAACTCTTGGAAGTTACATCAGCAAGCAGCCGGAGGTGTTGGGTGGCCCGGTCATTGATAAGTTTGGTGAACAACTCCCCTTCTTGTTCAAGGTGCTGAGTGTTAACCAAGCGCTCTCTATTCAGGCTCATCCCAACAAGGTCAGTAACACAGGGAACAAACATCCTTCTTACTCTACTTTTATGTTATTAGAGAAAGTTAGATTTATGGGATTTAGAATATATTATTATTGTTTAGATTAATGATGATAGTGTTCAGTGTTTTATCATTAAAGCTTTTTTTCCTGGAGTAATCACTTACATATTACATACCGTTTTATAGAACCATGCAGAGCAGCTTCACAGAGAGCGCCCAGATGTGTACAAGGACCCCAATCACAAACCTGAAATGGCCATCGCCCTTACCCCCTTCCAAGCTCTGTGTGGCTTCAGAACTGCACAACAAATTATAAAACATTTTAAAGGTTAATGTCTGATATTTTAGTTAATGATATACCCGGTAATGTCTTAATGTAAGTTTATTCTAATGAAGATGAGGTAATTTTACAAGATTTGGGTAAGAATCTCCATCAGGGGGAATGTTATTTTTGTACTCACTTCATGCAGCCTGTGAACCAAGAAGCCATTAAATTTGGTGTTAATAATTAGTAAACATTAACTCTTGTCATCGTCTGTATATTGGTGGTGCTGTGGGATACTAATCATAAAAACAATTTCTCCATCACAGAACTCCCTGAGCTACGGAAAGTAGTAGGAGAGGAAGCAGCTGAGAAATTTATTGAGGACCATTCGGAAGAGAATCTTAAAACCTGTTTTTCTGCTATGATGAATTCACCGAAGGATATAATTGCTTCTGCTCTAAGTGATCAGTTGCAACGATTCTCCGAGATGGGTGAGTAGTACTGTACTGTACTCGATGTGTAACCACTTAGTATCAGAGTGTTGGGAAGTGTTGTAGATAGAAGCTTTTAAATTCTCCAATTGACATAGATGATGATGATTTCACTCATTTGTACTTTACCAACACTATATTGTACAAATAAAAGACTAATATTTTTTTATTGAATAAGTATGTTCATATTGTGTAGACTCGGTCGTGTTTACTTATCCAAATACTTAGGCTACTTGAAACAATCTTCACAACAGATGCCTCAAAGGGTGGTGAGCTTCTTCATGACCTCTTTCTGACCCTACATGAAAAGTATCCTGGTGATGTGGGCTGCTTCTCCATATACCTGCTGAACTACCTTACTCTTCAGCCTGGAGAAGCAATGTTTCTTGGTCCCAATGTAATCCATGCTTACTTGCTTGGAGGTGAGTACATACAATATATGTGTGGTCTTGTGTGGGGGGGGGGTTATATGTATTAGACTATGGTTAGGATTAAGTCATTTGTTATATGGCATTATTGTATTAATTATAGAGGCAGCATAAGGTATAAGGACAACCATTAGTTCAATTCATGAATTAAATTAAAGCCATTTTTCCTACATAAGTACAGGGGATACAGGTATCTCATAATATACAATACAGTATTTTACTTTTCATCTCTTACTCTGCAGATTGTATCGAGTGTATGGCCTGCTCCGATAATGTCGTACGTGCCGGTTTGACCCCCAAGTATCAGGACGTAGAGACCTTGGTGAACATGCTGGAGTATGGGATGGTATCAGCCGAGTCCAGAAATTTTGAAGGGTTTAAAATGGACGGCTACACGACCATGTATAATCCTCCAGTGCCTGATTTTGCCGTTGATAAGATTGAGGTAAGTTTTAGTTTACCGTCATAATCGGGTAAACCAAGTAACAGGTGCAGTGTATGGTAAACCTCTGCTAAACTGGAATTCACTTAAACTGAAATCTGGATAAACCTGACCCAATCTGGCTTCATAGGTTTAGGAGAAATTAAAAAAAAAAAATTAATATTCATATTTTTAGTAACAATAATATGGCATCCTTAGACATTGCTTATTAACGCTGCTGTACTGTACATGATCCATTTGGACTTCCCCCCCCACAAACAATGGATAATAACTAAATAGTTGTTATAGGAATAAATTCTGTTCTGGTTCACTCGCTCACCACTCTTGATAGTTACTCATTCATGTGGCTCCTTGATCACCCTGGGAGATACTGTGCACCCTAGTCCTGTGTTTACTGAAGTTAGGCTCACATCACATTGTAGGATTCGTTTGCTCTATTTTTATTGTGTTTTAGTGTAGTAGTTCATTCATTTTCCTCACTATGTTGGCCCACCCTGGTAAGATGGTGAGTGTAAGTGGTAATGATGATGGAGTAAGGCCAAAACATGTGTGTAAGCATATAAGCATTGTAGATAAACTGAAAATAATAGGTTCCTGATTTTGTCTGGCTAATACCACTTGACAATAGCCATCCCAAGTCCAATTAGCAACCCATTCACTCAACACCTGAGCCTTGGGCCTTTGGGGGTTGTAAACAGGTTAGCCTTTACTGTTTTTTTTTTATTGTGTTTTCATTTTTTTGTTTGTGTTTGTTGCCTGGGGCCAAGTAAGAGAAGATCCAGGTTCCCTTAAGGTTATATTCCAGGTCAAAAGTATAGCATGTTATCTCGCCCAGTTTGCCTGATCTGAGGCCATGTGGCAATTGTTTAGATAATCTGACAATTGGTTAGCTATGGTGGGATTGTTACAAAAGGGAATTTGATACTGTTTCAATATATTTTATGTATTTAATCTACATGTAGGCATTTAATATGGCATCAGTACTCATTCCAGAAATTTATAAGGTTCTCTGCCTGGAAAACAAACAGTTTAATGAACGTGCTTGACCCTGCTATGGATTTTATGTCATACAAATTTCATAAACATTTGGCACAGTATAAAGTACTATACTGTACTACGGTATTTCTTTCATGGAATTTCCTTGAACAGCAGGTGTAGAGGCAGTGGTAGACAACATGTATTGCTGTACAACGCTTAACTTCAGAAAAGTGGGTAATTTCATTGTATTGTTAATTAGAATGGGTAGAAACTGAGTGTTGTAGATCATTAATCAGGTGTTAGAGGTGTACAATATGTTTTAATTAATGATAATGGCAACTGATAATTGAACATTGCATAGAGGAGGAGTTGGAGATCCAGTGTGTGTTGTTGGATGGGCAAAAAGTTGACTGGGATATGATGTAAGTCTGCACAGTGGACTCGGTTAAACTTTTGTAATGGTGAGGACAAGAATGAATATAGTAGAAATTAATAACTTACAGAGTATTGTTGGAATAAAGACAACAAATAGAGAAGAGGATGATGATGATGATGTGAGAATGATATCTGTAGTAAAGAATCATCCAGAAACATGCATGGTTGAAAGTTGGTTTGAGATGATGGGAATTAAAGGTTCATGTCATCTTTATGTTTAATTCAAGCTAGATTAACATAAGAGGGAGAGGCAGGCAATGCAGAAACTAGTTTGAGTCGGTAACTCAGTAGAGAAGCATAGCAGTCTATGGGAGCCAGGTACTGACAACAGCATGTATAGATACCGGTACAGTAGTTATGTTTTCTGTTATGTAATGTATGTGAGATTATTGACTAGACCGTGAAGGGTGCGGTGTGGATTCATTATATTTCCTACAGGTACCTGCTGGAGTGGAACAGTACACTCTGAGGCCAATGGAATCTGCTAGCATTGTGTTGGTAGTGGAGGGCAGCGCTGGAGATGTGGAAGTCAACCCAGCATCCCTAGGGGAGGTGCCTCATGCTACTAGTTTGGAACGTGGGTCGGTTGTATTTCTAGCTGCTGGACAGTCTTTGGCATTAAAACCCAGACCCGGGTCACGCCTCCTTGCCTTCCGTGCTTTATGTATTCTCTAAGTTCCAGAAAATTGTTGTTTGTGTAAATGGCTTTGAGATTAATTTATGAATTAACTATATATATATATATATATATATATATATATATATATATATATATATATATATATATATATATATATATATATATATATATATATATATATATATATATATATATATATATATATATATATATATATATATATATATATATATATATATATATATATATATATATATATATATATATATATATATATATATATATATATATATATATATATACATATACATATATATATATACTGTTGAAATTATAAATGATGAATATTTTACAGAGTAGTGATGGTTGTTATATGATGCTTTGGAAGAATTAAAACTAATGAATTGTTAAAAGTGTTATTGTCTCATAGTAATTTAATTATGATAAGTGAATACATTAATAATTATGGAAAGCAGGACATGTTTCTGCTCTCTTTAAACTTCCAGCTATCATCAGTGATACTGTAGTTACATAATTTACATATCTGTTTATCTTACCAATCTTATTACCATAATCAACAGTCTGTTTTTTTAAGACATTCTTATCTTGATACAAATAGTCAAAATAAGTTCATATCATTTCAAAAGTTATTCAATGGGATGTAATTTTGAATATTTTTATTTGTAATTTCTGCAGGCAAATATAAAAAGTGAGATATGACCATTAGGATTACATTAATATGTTGTTGCAGTTTCTAGTTTGAGTGTAGATCAGATTCATGTACAGTGGAACATCGAAAATCTGGGATGGTTGGCACCAAGCTGTTGTCAGGTTTTGGAATTTGCCGGTTCTTAGAAACCTAAAATGTACGAGGGACCAGAATGTTAGCGTAATATTGTGAAATTTATCAGTATTGTTTTATCTACTAAATATATTTTTTTGTGTTACTTAACATATGTGTAGAAAATATAATTTTTTACAGAAATAGGTTTTCAAAATATACCGGGTATTTATTTATTTAACGTACTTACATTGAAGATTTTCCCTGTCTCCACTTCCAAAGTAAACAGGTGAAGATGTAGGCAAGACAAGTACATGATGAAGGGCTGTGAGGAGTGTCTGGGTCAGTGGGGGTGAAGGCAGCAGGGGCGATATCTATTACTGGTTTTTTTCAGGGCCGCTACAGTCATCACTGGGTAGTGGTCTCTTATTAAAGCCATCATGAGGGCAATAAATCTCAGAATTTGTCATTGAAATGACTGGAGATTTGCCACCATAAGCTCATCATTTATCATCATTATGACCATTTTACACCCATTTTCCATCCATGCATGGGCTAGCCTTGAGTATCTGTTGTTGTGGGTCTCAATTGCCATCAGGCAAATTTGAAATGAATTTTATAGCAGGATATTATTCCTGGTGCCAACCCACTTTTACAAAGTGGGAACTGGTCATTATATGCATTACTTCCAAGTGCCCTCTTAGCTGGCAAGGCAAGGTTGTTACTCCCTGAGGTAATCACAGATTACCTGTCTACTTACAAAGCCTGAGGTGGGGAGCATCCTTGCATCCATCTGTCCCAACCTTGTGTACAGTACAGTGATGTAGTAGAGACTGACCCCAAGACCACACACAAACAACACCATTCCCTGTATTACCCTTTATGGATCACCTGAAATTCCCCCTAGTATTCCCTTGAAGTGAAGTTTGCCTTTCAGCTTAACCAGCCTGTGAAGTTATCGGGGGGGGGGGGGCTAATCTTTAGGTGATACATAAAGGGTAAAATGGGAATGGTCTTGGGGTCGGTCTCTACTGCATCACTGTACTGGACACAATATCTCCTGACCAGGTATATGGATATTAACCAGGCTGGCAGGAACTGGAAACAATTGATGATTGACAGTGTGAGCAACCACAGCTCTGGGCAATAGAGGTGTTTCAAACTCTGGGATATTTGCTGGCTTTCAGAGAGAATTGAATAATTTGAAAATAAAGTATTGCTGACTTTTGGAATGCTGGATTTTCGACATTCCACTGTATAAGTTATGCCAATACCTTCTGGACTCAGTTTTCAAAGCAGCTTTAAAGGATCATTTTGTAAAACAAACTTTGGGCCTTCATTCACCAGCAAAAATAATTGGGAGGGAAAGGTCATGGAACCTCCAGTAATAAAGATGCTCCTTCCTATTAATTTTTGGTCAACATTCTGTGATATGAAAGTCTAGAAAACAATTACCAATATGGTTCACGTTTGTTTTAGGTAGAAGCCTTCACTGCTTGGCTTGGCAGATAAGATTTGGGTTAGATGCCTCACTTCTTAGGTAATGACAGACCGGTGCTTGGACAATGTTCATCACATGTATTTTGTAAATTACACAATACTATATTTTATATGCATAAGGGAGAGGCGGGTGAGTATGCACATTATATTTCGGTAGAGTTTTAACCCGCAAAAATTTTAAATATACTTTTTCACGTGTACCATCTAGTAATCTCGGAAGTCACCATATTGTGTATTTAGGTCATGGAGAATGAAACAATGCTGATAGAAAATTTACCTGCAATAAATTATAATCTTACACAAAGGATGTTAAGTGACTTTTGGTGGGGTGAGTTGAGGATAAAAATCATTGATGAGTACAGTAATCAGATTTGGTGATTTTTATGAATGAAATCTAACGGAAAGACTTAATTTTGATTACCTAAAATACAAGAAAAAATTAAATTGTGGGGAACATTTGGTTGATGGGTGAAGTAAACATTACTTTATCCAGTGTAGTAGATGTGAAGCGTAAACCACGTAAATTTAATTTTATACGGTACATGTCCATATTTATTTTGTTAACTAATAGGCTTTTTTGTAGCCCAATGCAATGGACTACATTATGCAGGTACTGTAACTTACATTTATACGAGAATTTAACCAAAATCTATTGAGAAAAACTGAAAATGGGAAAAAAAAATTTGCTAAAAACTTGTAATGGTCTTTTCATAGGGACGTCATACAGCTCCCCAAATGACTATGAACAGCCACCGAGAGACACAGAGATGATGGTACAGATTGAGAGACCCACTAGTACTTGTGCATATTTACCCTCCCTTCTCTTCTACTTGTTTTAATATTTTAATCTAAATGTAAAGGTGAAGCCTTGACATGAAGAGTGGTTCAGTATTTAATGAAGCCAAAGTCAGATTGTAGCATATAAAGATATTAACCAGTATACTCAGTTTCTTTAGTTTTATTTAGTACTAATATATATATATATATACCGGTATACAGTACTATATATATGAACACTCATGCAAAGGGTAATATAATGCTCTTCTTCCACTGTTCATGATATTTGAGTTTTATTCCCAGGATCATAGAGGATTGGTTTACTTTATTGACTGTGATGCACAAAACTCATGTGAAGGCCCTGGGTAATGGTAGACTCTCAGCGGAGGATACCAGCCAGCACGGTGGGAGCTAAGAGAGTTATTACCTTAAGGTTCGTTCAGATACTGACTCTAGATATCGTCTGGCTTCTATTTATTTTTGTTTTAAATTTCCTCTTGCCTTAATTAAGATAGATAATTAAATATTCTTCATAAGATATAATGCTTTAAAGCAAAAAAAGTATTGTAGGAAACAAAGCCTTAAAACATTATCAATAGCTGTAATCACCACAGAACGATTCTTCACTGACATCAAAAAACGTAGTTTACCTTTTACGTGTTTGAGGAAAGTATATTTAATCGATATATGTTAGTTGTGAAGATTTTATAAGAGAGATGAAAGATTTAGGACTAATACATGTAGTGGGTAGTGCACCTTGTGTAGACTGGAGATTACTCGTCCCTTATGTTTGTAAGTGTGTTGGGTGGACATACTATTGTTTCCAGTATTCTTTACGTTCAGTAGTAGCAGTTAAAGGACAATTTTTAATACTCTTTAAATTTTCTTTTATTGGTAAACCATAACTCATGCCATTTTTATTTGGTAAATATCACCATAGTTCTACTCAACGAATATTTGCTTCATTTTATGGTGTTGTGTCCCTTAATTATGGTAGTTTTATATTATATTGTAGAAGGCCCTGTATAAGTTATTGAGAGGGAGGAGGTGAAGAAGCTTCCTGTAACCTGCTGTTGATGTAGCGTTTAACGGTGTGATATACTCCAACGCGCTACACGACGCAGTAATTGCAAATCAAGAAGCACAGAGAGAAGTTGTAGTTCATGTGGATTATCACCAGCGGTAAAAGTCTATGCAAATGTAGATAACCAGATTAAACTTCTGTGTAAGACAATATCTATTGATAATACAATGAATACAATACCAGTTGTATGTGTGTACAATTATACATATTAAAATTGTTTAGCGAGAATTCAAGAGATATATGAAATACAGCTGTATGCATTGTGCTGCTAGCATGGAAGATGTGGTAGTTCTTCTGGCTGACAGCAGTGTTTTATGGATATGTATGGTGTGCATATTTTCCTTATATTTTGTGATAAACTGTCTGTACATTAGGCCATGTGATTAATTATTAAAGCTGTGTTTTTGTACGGTTCTTAGAATTGGTTAGTCTCAATTGTTCATGAGAGTACAGTACTACCTTGGGAAAAGCCAAAATTGAATCCTTCTACCCCTGATGGTTTCCCTCTAACCACATGTAGTACATCACACACCACTAGTGGGCTGCCAATGTTGTCAAACTCATAAAGTCTCTTTTTATTGTTGTCCTGTTCTTCTACTTATGTTTTTTCCTGCTTCACTACATCTATTTTCCCTCTTGCATCTATTTGCTGAATCAGTGCTGATCCTCTTTTATACAGTATCTGCATATGTCATAAATTATTTCCTGCATTCAGAGAAGGATAGTGCTTGCAGAATGTTCCCCAAACATTTCAGCTGCTGATGCTCTTCAACCGATTCATATAAGAAATACGACAAAAGTACTCAAATTACTAGGCCGAGTGTCATGTACTGTACATTGGTTTTCACGTCAAACAATTGAAGAAGTTACCAACTGCTTGCACCTGAAATAAACAGACGAAAAAAATGATAAGTAACCTCTGTTATGCACACAGGGGAAGATGTGATCAACCCAAAATTTAAATAAAGCAACAACAGTAAGGAGGAGAGAAGAATGACTGGGATGAGAAAATATTACTCTTTGGGAGACTTGTGTAGGTTTGAAGATCGAACAGTAAACCATCAGGTACTGTATTAAGCAATATCAGGACGACGACACTCCTTTCCCCCATCAAGCGTTTCATTATGTGACTGAGGCCAATCAATATATCATTTAAGCTTATTACCTCTACACATTATTGCTCAGCACAAGCTAGTGGTAACTGCTCAACCTATGTGATAGCCAAGCTAGTGTACAAGATATATGCTGTAAATGTTTCGTGTTATTTCTAGGTTTTTGATTTTTGGTAATGAATATGGTTGGTAACTAAAATTTGTGGGGAAGATTGTGGTTATACCATCCTGTTTACGGAAAGTGTGTTCATGATAAAAAAAAAGATAACACTTATGGATGATTGAATTGGCTTGATGCAGAAAACGTAACTTCTATATTCTTACTCTTTATAGCACTAATCTCTTATTAAAAAAATGGTCGTGTTTAATGGTAATTACTTAAAAGCAGAAAATTATCGCAAATATAAATACTTAATTTTTCAATAATTTATGGTTAATCTTTTCCCTTTGACTGAAATTCTTGTCAGTGATGTGAATAAATCTATCCATTTACCCATCAGCTTGTAAAATCCCAGATAATGCACAATTATCCTGAAATTTAAAGGAGATACTTACCTATCCTATCTCACCTGGTCTTTGATGCATAAATCCAGGCCTGTGTGCATGATATCAAGGGAAGGTTTGTAAAATTCCCTCACTGGTCAATAATGCCAAGTTATGAGGGCATGGGAAGGCCAAACTTTGTGCCTAGGTGAATAGCACATGTTTCCCACAACAGTACAGTAGTTCTAATACACACTGAATCATGGATGCAAGTTGGTTAAGGTACCTTTGCAGCGAGGTATATATTAGATTGTTAAAAGAAAGTACTGTATTCATCGTAGGTCATTATGGGAGAAAAAAAAAAACTCCACCAAAGTTATTATTTGTTTGATCTGATTATTATCTGTGATGCCTTGTTCCCTCTCAGATTTGAGGGGTTGCCACATGTAGCTTCTCCACGGCTCTGCATTGATTGGTGGCATTGGCACCATAACATTTGAGCTATATTCTAGATCTATTAGGACATAAGACATACAGAATAACTTTAAAGGGTAAATTGGGTAGTCAAATGTAGGCTTCAGGCATTGATTAAACTTAAATAATGCAATGGTGTTTCATTAAATACTACTAACATGGTGTTAATCATAAAGAAATATGCAAAATATTAACACTGAACTTTATTTAACATTTATACATGGTCACAGTACACTGAACAAAGCAAAACTTGTATATTAAAAGCATACTAACAGCCTTATAAGTAATTTATGACCAACAACAGAGACAAAATTAGTCTTTGGTTTGATTAAATACTAATGTGTATCAGAATCTTTTAAAAAAATAACATAGGGATTCTTGATAAAGTAGGTTCTTGTCTTATATAATATTATCAAGGGAATTTTCTTTTTAACAATAATAAATCCATCCTATGTATAAATTAGAGCAAAGTAAATTTTGTTTCTTCAGTTTATGTAAATAATGTACAGTACAGTACAGTCAAAGCTCAAAGAATCCAAATACCTTGACCAAATATTGTGGGGATTTCCAAGTTACGTACTGTATACTGTATGTAATCTACCGTATATATACAGATAATGCAAGGAGACATAAATAAAATATAAAGAGGTGATACATAGTTTTATCACTAGGTAATAAGTATGTATGTGCATGTCACCATTATAACTCATGAATATAAAAAAGAAAAGATTTAATAGGAGGCAAACTCATGCTTAAATGTTACTCAGCATTTTAAATCAGGGAACTGCAGATTTGTTAAAGTTAGGAATTTTAGGATTTTTGAGCTTTCACTGTGTGGCTTTCAAATAAAATTGTGAAAGATATATAACGACATATTTACAGATAATTTTTGTATTCAGTATATCCACTACACTAGAAGAAATGTATACATTATAATTATGTATACAACAGTAAGACCTTAGAGCTTCAGTGGTCTCAGAAATCTAACACTTTTGAATACCGGTAACATAGAAAATTTAAATATATCGGCTTGGTCCTTCTTGATCACAGTAAAAAAAAATAAAACTAGAGAAAAATCTTATGATAAGAATGGCCCAAGCGCTAAACAGGATGAACAGTGAATTAATAAATAATGAAACACTGTACAATAGAAAGGCAATTATCCATATTTCAACATATGGAAGATTTGGTCATACAGTACTGTAGTTTTTTTATCCTGATTTAATTACATACAACAGTACATACACAGTACAATAGAGCCATGAAATTTTTACTGTCCTCAAGCAGAACGCCAGCGCTGTACCGTATACAGAGGCAGAAGAGTGCTCGGGAAATAAAGAATCAATTTTGATCGTGGTATTCACTCAATGTAAAACTTAATACTGTACTTTGTAAAGTATAGCCCACTCAAGACTGAGTCCAAATTACTGTTACTGTTTAATCATTTAATACAATATATTAAAATACATTAATAATACAATGAACTGTTAATCCAAAGTTTATATGTAGAGCCTTGCAGGTGTTCATCAGTGCAAGCTGCCAGCCGGTGGATTTTGTTCATAATTAATGAGAGTTGACTAGGAGTGATTTTTATGGCTACCATCCGAGTTCCATAATAAGAAAATACATTAAAAGAGTAAAAAAAAAAATTTTGCTTTTAACTTAACTTAAGGTTTACTATGAAACTACGGGATTTAAATTTTGACAAACACTTCATTGTGTTGAATAACCAGGTACAGAACAGTGTTGTATTTTCACGGATTATCAATGCTGCCTCAACAGAAATTGTGTAATACCCTGTACTGTTATACCTGAAAATTTTAAATACATAATGTAATACAGTAGTAGGTCCAATTAAGGTTTGAGGTCATCTAGGTAGTAATCCTATTTTTTTCAGCATAATTATTATACCCTGTATTGAAACATAAAATAGAGAAGAACCTGAGAAACAAAATTCTTTCAGATGGTTTTTGAAAAAAAAAAAATAAATAAATAAAATAACCGTTCAGCAACATGAACCTCTCGGTGTGACATGAACAGTGGAGATCCTTGTTATCCATATTGATTTTAACAGTACAGTACTGTACTGTACTTTAAGTTGAGTAAAGTTGCTTCAGTACAATAAACTTTTTCTCTCCTCCAAGTAGGCAAGACCGAAGAGCCTCCATGCCATTATATTTTGACCTATGGCCTTCTTTGCTTCATTTCTGGAGGATTAACTTCAATCTGAACTTTCTTCATGTAAAAAAAAATGGACAACGATCGAATCTGGCCGTCAAAAAACTGCATTACAATTTATTATCTGTTTCCTCTTTGACTCAGTCTAACTAAGCCTAAACGTGAAAGACTAAGTTTTTGAGAACAATGTAAAGAAAAAAAAAATCAGATTTATGCAGCCACAAAATACTATTCAACACTAGAACAAGGGTTGGTAAAACTAGCACAATTGATTTTATTTTCCGATTTGCGGCGGTTGTTATCGGTTGGGACAGGGATGCGGAACAACTGGCCCTGTGGCATACACATACACAGTTTATACTGGCCTCGGACATTAGCCTTATCTACGTTGTCAACGAGAGGAAGTGTATTGACGTCCACCATGATGCCAGATTCAGTCTCCAGTAAAATTGAACCATTGATGCTCTTAACATATATATCTTGATCAGCTGACCATGTCAACTTTCCTCCATCAAAGGACATTCCTTCATTTCCTTTCAGTCGAATCTGAAAAGAAAGTAGATTTAATTAAATTATGGTTAAGAACTTGTTGGTAAGAGTCCCAAGCCAACCATACAGTAATGAACTATCCTCCTGTGAAAGTGAAATTTTGGAATTAACACAACTAACCATACAATTTTAAACCATGCAGAGTGAAGGCAAGGTGCATCTTAAACTTACCGTAGAATCGGAGCGTATCTTCAGGTCTGAGAAAGTAGGGCTGGTAATCCTGGCAGTACGGCTTCTTTTAACATTGAGATTCTTGACACCTTGAGGTAAGCCAAAGTTTGGGTAGTTGGTGGAGAAAACTGTACTGCCTGAGTGTGGGTCAACCACCTGTAAAATATAGTACAGTGCAGTGTTTGAGATTGTATCGATAATATACACAAGAAAATCCTTTCCTATTTAAAATAAAATGTACTTTAATTTTATTTGTCAAGTTCCTAAACTAACAATGAATAACTGAATTTAAAGTACAGTACATACCGGTACTTAATTTTTATTACTTATTTCAAGTAAATTTTTTTTTTTATTGAGGTAATACAGAATCTAATCAAATTCTTTGCAGGAACAACAAAGAGAAATGGTAAGATTTGTTGGGGTTTATTGATGAACTTACCTGGAAGCTGTCAACACTACGTATCTCCGTCCTATCAGGGCTGACATTCAGTACAGGAGGAGTATTGGAAGTCATTAAGGTAAGAGAAACCTGAAAATAAGATAATTTACAGTACATTTAGAAAATCACTTAAATTTGCCCTGGTACTAAACAAGAGTTACCTGTATAGACACAACTAAGCTCTGTTATGGAGTAGAACTATCCAAAGAATTAACTGTTTTGTGGAGGTGGACGACTGAATGAAGACTTGGTACTGAAAACCCAGGTATAGTTGACAGTGGATAAGACCTGTTCACCCAAGCTACTTTAACACCGAGTGATAAAAAGTCTGCATCCTAGAATTGTCATAATTTTTTAGTGTGTGACCCATCCAAGATAAAGGTGAGACAGAGTTACAGCCCGTAGACTTGATGAATAAATTAATAAACCTCCTTAAACTAAATCTAATCTATAAAATACAGTAAATACAACAATGCCGACCAGTCAATGAAGAACAATGCTTTCATCTCATTAATAATATAAACCAAACATTAATTACATATATACTGTACTGTAGTTGTCTGTGTCAGGGAGAGGCTGTTACCATAAAAAATCAGGTCTTAAAGTCATGAAATTTGCACAAAGACTACAAAACAAACCTTGCTGTTGTCTCCCTGGATAGAAAATGGCGTATCAGAGTAACTATATATCAGTCCGTCCCTCTTGTCTACGTTGCCCAAGTCTGCACGGCCATAGAACTTGGTTGTCCTGTGAAGGCAAAAAGTTACGAGTGTACTGCAAAAAATTTTCTGCTCGATACGACTTAATTATTGGTTAGAAAATCAACATGAGTATACACTAGGCATTTTGGAACCCAGATTTTAAGGTCAGATATAAATTTTAGAGTTGGTATTTTAGCCATGAGAAAAACTGTAGAGAGGCCCCATATAAATACTCACCTAGCTTCAAGAGACCCCATATACTCACTCAGTTCCAGGAAGAAACTCGATACTTTCCATGCCATAACCAAGTCTCAGAACTCCCATGGCAAAGAAAGTAAGAAGAAGGTTCCCACAGGCCAACAGGAGAAGTACCACTACCAGGCCCCAGAAGAACCCACTCTCCCCATGCTGAGCCTCACTTCGTTTTGGCGTTGTCTCTCGTTCACAGCTGTAGGTGACAAGACACTGATATTTAATGCAACAAAGTGAAAGATATAAAGAAATCTCACTGTTCATTATTATATGTTAAATATCAATTTGAAGTGGTCATTTGAAAGCATTAATGGTAGATGATCTAATTAAATCCTTCTTCTGTATACTAAAAAGGTAACTGTCTTCATTAATAAGCAATGTAAATAGTACTTCTCTTAAGATAACTCAATTTTGTAACAAGAAAACTTAATATTCTGTTGGGGTGTGTCATTAGTAAGGTGAATTTTATTATATACTACACTGCCATAGCTTTTGTGTCTGGCTGGCTTGAGACAATTAGGCCACCAAGTGAAAGATAGCTGGCAATAAAGGCAGCATTGTTGTATTCCTTATGTATTATATTGTATCATAAATCTGTCTGTTTGTGTCAGAAGTTGTGCTGAATATAGCCTCTGTAAGGTACACTTTAAACAAAAACTTCTCGAACACTTGGGCACGATGGACGTGAGAATGAGCTGAATGGGACTTTATCATCTAGGAATGGTTTCAGAATCTAAGTTTATTTATCAGATTGCATCGTATTTATATCGTTCAAGAATTTTTTTAGTGATGGTACATATTCCTGGTCTCATTATATCTCCAAAACCCTCCTTCCTCTCATTAGCCAGTGTGACAGTCAGGAAGAAGGGATAAGCTTTGATGCCAACAGGAAATGCAGTATGGCAGAATATATCAGCTTCTGTGATGTATAATGATTCTTAAAACTTTCTCTCACTACTCTCCATGAAGAAAAACTACTGCTTCCAAATTCTGTATCTTAATTAGTGCTATACAAGTACAGGCAGTCCCTGACTTACGACGGGGCTAGGGACCCAAATCCAGGTCGTAAGTCGAATTGGTCGTAAGTCGAAAATGCAAAAATAATACATAGAAAATCTAAAATGGGTGTCTCTTGTCCTTCTCAGCACCACGAAACTCCCATTTTTAAGCTTGCCAGCCATTTTAAAGGGAATTACAAACAAAAATTTTGTCAGTACACAGAGCAATCACTAATGTCGGGACTCGAAAATACGTAATTTGAAAAATTTTTGGTATGACTGGGGCGGTCATATGTCCAGGTGGTCGTAAGTCAAGTAGGTCGTAAGTCAAGGAGTACCTGTATTTAAATGATGAATATTTACTGATTCATTAGTTTAATCCAAGTCACTAATATCATATCTACTAAACTTAGATTAGTGTGTGTTGTGTGTTTTAGGTTAGGTTAGGTTAAGTTAGGAATTCCCGATCAATTCTTTATTCTTGATGACTTGCCTGGTCGTGTGTGTGGTGGATCGTGCCGTTAGAGTCGCCCGTTCCAAGGTGCTGGTGGCTAAAGAGGTGCTGTCCGCAAGTAGTGAAGCAGCGGCCGAGTCTCCCATCTTCAAGTTACATTAAAGTACTGCGGTAAATATGATTAAAGGAATTACAAGAGAATTTTTAAAACATCAGCAGATAAAATACTAAATAATTAAAGTTTAATGGTGGCTGTATAATAAAATTCACGAGATAAACTGATAATCACAAACTGTACAAAAATATGATGACAATTATGTTTTATTTTTGTATAATACTATGAACTAATACTACAACACAGAGAAACAATTATAATACAAGACTCGTTTTCATAGTCTTGTTTTTAAATTAATTATTGAATACCCAATAAATTAGACTTTAATAAATAAATACAGATAATTGGAGAGAATAAATGATTATCCTGTATTTCTTAACCACATTAACAGCCATAAGTCTTCACATTACATACTTCAACCATTCTTCTTAATTTCCATATATTTTTAGGGTAATATATAGCTTTATTTTAGATACTTATTAAATAATGTCATGTATATTATATTTCAATTTATATGTTTTAAAAGTATGTTGTTCCATGTATTAACAGTATCTCTCTAGTTATCACGAAAAAGCTATCTTCATATTTTAATTAACACCTATTAGGAGAAATATATAGTATCATAAGTCTGACCTTAATGTATCTGTAGTTTTCTTGTTCCTTTCTTCATAAAATAATCAAGAATAAAATAATTCCTGTAGCCTAAGGATGAGACGAGCGACTAGATGTGGAAGCCGAAGTTACAGTCACTTGTCCCAATGTATTGACGAAATTTTATATCTATATTATTCTTTGATTTTAATTGAATTATATTTTCCAATCTTCAAGATAAATTTAATATATGTATTGTAAAAATTATAAATCAATGAATTATTATGTATATTTTTGTACTATGCAGATAAATATAATTTAATCCTAATTTGACCAATGAAATGAGACACAAGAAAAAGTGTCGTCTGCTGTAAATAAATATCTCTATTATGAAGTAAATAACCTTCAATTCTTACAGTTATACTCACCTTATGTTTATAATAAATTATATTACACATTTTTATTGTGTTATATCAAATTGTAATTGATTTTTACACATTTTTATTCGTAAATACATAGAGCAGAAGCTTTTATAAACTTACAAAATATATTGACAGAAATAACAAACTGAATCATAAATAAACTAGAAGTAATATTTTTATTTTTATTTAATAACATTTAAATATAAAATAAATTTCTTTAGGCGGGGTAAAGGTTTGTGGTTTAATTTTATATTACAGAAATATTTTAGAATTCAGTGTGTTGATGTTTTCTCTGTGTTAAGGAAGGAGACAGTTACCCGCCTTAACTACCCAACTACCCAACTACCACAAGACTGGGGGAGTTATAAGAGTCATGTGATGCACTTCATTACTCTACCAGACCGTCTTGTATTAGGTAAACCTGTTAATTGTATTATAGTTGTGTTTGGTGGTTAAATCATTAACTTGAAGCCATTTTATCCTCTTATATTATCTTAAGGTTAATTTTCTCTACTTTATATAGTTATTGGTATATTATCTATTATAAATTATCAACGTAGATATTCTTTTCTTGATATAAACGTAATTATTTATTAGTTATCTGTTAAACTTATTCGTGGATGTTTAATTGGTTGTTAGTGATTGGTGTATTGGTTCTGTGAGGTATAACGAGGTAGTACTGTAGTTCTTATTAGGAGTGCTCCCTAACTACCTTCTGTAGGATATATCACCATCAAAGATCAATGTTTTCTTATCCTGCAAAATGGAAAAATAATACACCAAGAATTTGTTTTGCTTAATGGTTGTGTTAGGTTAGGTTAGGTTAGGTTAGGTTGAAGTTATGGTTTTCTGATGGTTTTTAAAATTGCTGAAGAATTTTTATGTCATCAATCTATATACAGTACAGGAGACGTGGTCAAGGTCCCTCTGTCTGCCATGTTTAAACGGTTCTTTCAGGGATGGTAAAAATTTTTATTTATCCTTATTGGGATAAAAACGAATATTAACAGGGCAACTTGACCTAACCTAACCTAACCTAACCTATTCTATTAATGCCTAGAAGAAAATTGATTCCTAACTAAAAAAAAGAATCCTGGTGGTAATGGTAAAAAACATCTAAATACCTATTGGGATATAAATGAATATTAACCCACTTTCTATTATAGGAGATTAACATACAAGATATATAACTGTTAGGTTTGGTAGGTTAGTTTGGTTGATTTAACAATGATGAATTATAAAATATACCATTGTCTGGTACTTAAGGAATGTTAACAGTTTCCTGTAGTTTCCGAGATGGATTGTCGATAATTTATTGTACCAAACCTAACCTAACCTAAGATACTAAAATTGTATTGTACTTTAATATTCTAAAATGAAAGAAAAAGTAATAGCACACAACAGCTTCTGTTATTATGAGCCATTTTAGCAAAAATATTCTATAATGGAGAATTTTTTTTCCTAACTTTCAAATATTAGTAAAAGTTTGGAGAAATTGCAACTTCCTTACTTTTGTTTTTCTGAATTTTCATATTGAAGACGAACAATGGTAGACCCACCATCTCTTTGCGTCACCATTAATGTGTTGTATCGGACGTTAATGCTTACGTTCCTCACTTGCGAAGAACTGACAGCAAGGACCGACCATTTTTGTATAAACTATATTTACTTGACAAAAACTAAATGAAAACCAAAGATAGAAAGGCGGAATTCCTTCTCCTTTTATTTGGTTATATGAAAGGTAAGAAACAAGTTTTCATCGATTGAATTTTTGTCATAAGTTGCTGCATCTCACGAGTCAGTGCTCTAAACTGTTACCAAAAGGTTTATTGAAGAAAAATTATTTTGGTAATATTTAAGGAAAAGGTTCAGGATTATCCAGCCACCTATTGAAAAATATTTTTTAAACCAAACTCATTTTTACCTCAAGACTGAAGCAAATTAAATTGAGAAACAGCATTTTTTGGATTCAGGTTTTGGTGCTAGCATAGCATGTGGTCTAACCTAACCTAACCGTATCTTATCTAACCTAAATAACTTGTAGACTGCACGCAATAGTAGCGCCCAGGTTTTTCCTTCATTTTACTTGTTGATAAACTAAGCTTAATAACTAACTTAGCCCCCAAAAAAAGAATTTGCCAAACTCGGTGAAACTTCTTGACAAAATTAAACAATGGTGTACAGTGGAGTCTCCCAGCAACACGAGTTAAGGACCGCCAGGGCCAGTCTTACCACATAGACGCGTTACAGTGTACAGTAGTTATTGAGAGATCACATTTGCACGGTTAGATAAATCTCATTGGAGTAAATTTAAGTTATGTATTGTTTCATCACTGAGAATTCTATGTATGAGGATTTTGACTTTTATGAAATAGGTAAAAATACTGTAGTACATTACTCTGTATTGTATTTCTCTAAAAGTTTATGACAAATTTTGGTAATATCAAGTATGATATTTGTTAAGTTATTGGTTAATACAGGTTTGTGATGGGTATGATTTTTCCTTCTATAAACTGTACTGCAAAAGTTATTAAGTTGATTGATTTAATTAAGTTATTATGTGTTAGAGGTGTGAAGAGTTTCCTCCATGAAGGTTGATGATGGTAAATAAACCATCACGGTCTACTTAATCACTAATGAACTTAACATTCATCAGAGGTCTTTTTAATTTCAGTGTCTGGCAGCAACGCTCTGAGGAATATAACAGCTTTGCCAGAGACTTGAACAATGCTGTATACTAAGTAATTGATGCCATGTTTGTGTGTTAGCCACTGTGAGGTGCATCAAGGCTGATTGCTCTCTCCCATTACTTAATTATTTCTGGAATTTATTTTTAGTTTTTGTTGAGCACCCAGGTAGTGAAGATCCAGCCTTCTCATGTACAGTAGTTGTAAAGCAAGAGGCTTGAAGACAGGAGTCCCTCAGCAGGAGTACATTGGGCACAAATAGTACTGTATAATGAAGTGATGTCTCCCTTAGCTGGAACAATTGGTGCAGAGCACTTCCGGGAATGAGAGGTTTCTGGGTAACGAAACAACTTTCAAAGCCGTAAAAAATCCTTTTTCCTCTGAATTTTCCTGAATTATCCGGGTACCAGGAAGATTTTCTCGGAAGTTCCAGAAATTGCACGTTACACCATCTCGAACCGGAAAGAAATCCCCCAGCCCCAAAAATTTTCCGGGTACCGTAATTTTCCCGATATTGGAATTTTTTTCGGAATATCCGGAAAATGTGCTCCTCAGAAAATCTTAACCAAAGCCAGAATTTTCTGGAAAATTCCGGCTTTGGGAACGATTTTCCCCCAAATTTCAATTCTGGTTAAGAGGATTTCCGGCTAATGGAGATATTGTACTGTATTACTACAGTATATAGTTTTATGGGACCTAGAAACTGTTGTTCATCTACTTTTCAGTGATAGACATAAGCACAGTAATTGTTTATAAATTGTACAGTACTGGATACAAATGGATAAGGAGAACAGCTTATCATGAAAAGTTGATGGAGATTTAGCCACTGGCTGCTTGAGAATGAGAAGGCCGAGATCTGTACAAATTGGTATCATTGAAATGAAGAGAACATAAAAAACATGAAATTTAAATTTGATTGTTTTTGGTTTTTCTACAAAAATGTTCTCATTAGATTTTATTTTCAGGAGTTTAGGTAGAGATAGTGATTAGAGATTTTTTTATATGACTTGGAATCTGCCGTTTCTCATGACATGAGATTACAACTTATCTATCCAGTTTTATAGACAAGAAAGGAAATGTTAGATTACTGTTAAGAGTTTCTTGAAGGCAAACAAGGTTTTTAATTCGTCAACCGGGACTTACTCCAAGGTCTTTTATCCAGGAGGGATCACAAGGGGATACTCAGCTACTTTGTATTGCATCCATTGAAGCCACAAAGAGCTGTTTGCTAATTTGAGCTCACAGTATGTTATTGATTCTGAGGCAGGATCTCCTGACTCAGCTAGAACTCCTATTACTAGAGGGTAGCTATGATGAGCCCCTGAGAGCTGTGAGTCTTATATTCATGCATCCCAAGACCTACAAAGGCTATAAATAGGCCTCAGGCATGATTGTTTTTCATTCCCCAATTGCTCTTCCTGTTGATGGAATGTCTCAGTCGGCTCTGTGAGTTTGGATGTAAAATGGTGATGAGGGAGCACAGTACAGTACTTATTTGAGCTTAGAGTTGTTGTCATGTATTATTATGTATTGTACTGGATATAGCTACAGGTATAGGTATTAATTATGTTGCCAGTAACTTGTATTACTTTGTCCCTAGGTATTGTAATAATGTGATTAATCTGTTGATTTACTGTGCTTTCTTTAATGCTAGACCAAGAATTGATGTTAAGTTGGTCTAGGTGAAGGGACATGGTCTGGTTATCTAAGTGACTGTGTTGCTTAGACTTTCATCTTACTCTGGTTGCCAGCTTGGCAGTGGTTGGGTCCCTAGTTAGCCTATACTACACTACTTTACATTCTATACTCTGTAGACTTTTTAAAACCAGCCCACAACTGTTCATGGTGTTGGCATTATGGAGTCATCATGAAAATTGGCCTATGTTGCTGTCTCATGAGAGACTGTATACCTGTATGATGTACACAGTATGTTTGTTATATACTGTAGTACAAGCTGTGAGCATTGTATTAAATTCAAAATTTATACAGTATACATTCGTGCATTAAACTGAATAGCTATCATTTAGATGAAACTTTACTGTACAGGTACAGAATATTGTCCTTGAAGGGACGACAATTTGGTTGACATAATCTGTTACATAAATTGAAATATAGTACATACAAGACTTATTGAAAATTTTTCTTCACAATGATACCATTTTTTGTAAGATTTTTCTTATTTATAGATAAGAATTGGATGTTAATGCCAGAATAATTATGTATTGGTGACAGTAAAGTTGTGATGGATTGTGTATCTGCATGTGCTTCTGAGAAATGGTGGTACTCGATTAATGTTCAGTTACAAAGGCTTCCTGAACAAAGACATAGAACTCTTGTTTATCTTCCATGATGTTGCATGATCTTCACTACAGTAGTGAGTCTATGAGCACTTGTGTGTCATTAACTGTGAAGTTTTCTCTTTATTTCTGGGGGACACAGTAACTACCAGAAACTGTCATACACACAGAAAACATTTTATAAACAGCTGTTTCTTGTAGATTTAGTTCATGAAAATTTTGTAAATGAAATGGCTGATACTGTAACTCATTTGAAACTAATACATGATTCATAATACAGTACAAAAGTTACAAATATGGATACACTGTAATACCTATTAAATCGAAGGAAAAAATGAACTTGGTAAATAACATTAAAATGAATAATGGACAACTGCATATACAATACTACCACACCTGACTTTATTTATTACCAGTGATCATTTTGAGTTAGTCTTGTGTTGCTATATAATCTCAATATGGAGACAAGTGTAGATAGTTTATTGTCAGATTCTAGTTCAGTGTTGTAGAAGAATGTGACATTTGTTGTGACGCATCATTGGCCACCTCAGTATCAGTGGGAAAGACTACCTCACCTCATGCAGCATGCCCACACTGCACCTTGATGTATTAGCCATAGTTTGTATGGTTAATCTCATCAGTTTATAGTCTACAAGTTATTCTCTATGTAGCTACAGTTTAAACCAAGGAAGAGAATGTAGTATACATAGCTTCTTGAAATACTGAATTATTGTGTATTAATTTATACTGCTGTTGATAAGTCATTCTCTTTGTACGGTTACCCACTTAAGTCTTGTTGCCTCTCCCGCTGCTTCACGAACCCCAAGATTCAGACTCATGAACCCGAAGCAGTAGACACTGATGCATTGTCCTGTCCATAAATGCTTCGGATTCACAGTCTGAATCCCCGGGGATTGGTGGCTCAGGAGGAGACGCGACATGACTTATGTGGGTGACGGTACAGTTTAAAGGAGACAAGAGAGTGTTTGCATCTTTGTGAAATACAGAACTGTTGTGTAAGATTTAGAAACAAACTGTGCTGTACAAGTGAAGAATTGGATGTTACCAGAAATTAATTTGAGAAACAAGGAGATTCAATGTTTCATGTGTGAAAGATGTGTCATTTACTCAGTGATGTATAGTGTGGTTACCAAGGAAGGGATTTGTGGATGAACAGAATATGTGATTGGATCAGATGGAATGGGCTTCAGTACTGTATAATGGAGAGTGCGGGTGAGGTATGACGGAGAAATGGATCCTTGAGAGGAGGTGTAAAGATGGATGCTTATAGAGATTTCTAGTAACTGCAAATACTGTACAGGTATGCAGAGAATATTTGTTGTAGCTGATCTTACACAAAGCATCAACCATTTTTGAAGAATAAGGGAAAGTATTGTAATGACTAGGTACGATGTCTCACTCATCCTGTTAATGTTTTCTTTCCACCAGTATGGAAGGTCGGACAGAAACGATGATGAATCTTCGAGTTGGGCAGACAGGCGTTGGCAGGGTTGCCGCCGGGGATGATGGGGTCGTGGTCAGTGGGGAGACCTCCATCGGGGGTCCTCCCTCCCCGACGGGTCTACGCTACACCTCGGACAAACACCCCAAGCTGGCCCTGGCGAACATCAACATGCTGCAGAAAAGACGAGAATTGTGTGATGTTGTACTCATAGTTGGAGGCCGCAAGATATTTGCTCACAGGTTTGTATCGCCATCGCATTCTAGTGCTTTATTAAGTTTATTACCTGCAGAATGAGATGGAACTAGTATAGTGATACATTACTTATTTATTGGTTATTTCTCAATTTTATTTTATCAAGTTTCAAAATTATTGACAATTTTCTAAATGAAGCTATGATAGTGACCTTGATTATATTTTACAAGGCTATATGTTACAGGTGTACAAGATATCTGGCACTTGGCACTTGTTAGTTCCTGACCTTAAGCTGTGAATGTTTGTAATACAGTACTCCTTTTGAGGGGCTGTGGTGCACCTGAGAAGTATTACTGTACTTATCAGTAGGTGAGGTCCAGCGGGTAATGTTGAAGTATTAGACACTGAGGATGATACACAGGTTACTTAGTTTCAGGCTCAACTATGACATAGGATTCAAGGATTAATCCCATATTTTATAAGAAAGAGCACAGTTCATACAGAAACAATTACACTTCTACTTTGGATGAAAACATTAAGAAATATTCCACATCGGTAGCATAATGTTTTGTATTGTAAGTTTTAGGATTACATATTTTTATTTCTTTGGCAATTTATTTCACAAAACTCCCTTTATTTCTCCTATTCAGAGTGATCTTATCTGCATGCAGCCCATATTTCCATGCAATGTTTACATCTGAGCTTCTTGAGGCAAGACAGACTGAGGTGCCCATTCGTGATATTGATGAGCATGCAGTAGACTTGCTGGTCAATTTCTGTTACACTTCAGAAATCACCATAGAAGAGTCCAATGTACAAACACTACTTCCTGCAGGTAAACACTTGTGACGTACTCCTGAATATATGACTAAATGTTTTATTACCATGTAGAGAGAAAAGCACACAGAGATCTTAAATTTTACACCCGACCAGAGAATGTTGTACCAAGTGAGCTGAAGATAAACAATAACAAAAATTTTCCTTACTTGATTTTGCTTATAGTGATATTTTTTATTGATTGATCCATTCAGTTATGTGTGGAAGGTGAGTACTGCATCAGAGTAGGTGGGTGGGTGGGTGGTGAGTGTGTAAAAGAGGAATTTAAAACAACAGAGGCATTGATTACTTTAGTAAGTTGTTGGCTGTAATACACCGTGCTCTTGTACCAGATAATTCAAAATCTAGAAAATCTTCATAGTGCTTTAATATTATTATCCCTTACCTGGTGGCCATCAGCAGTTGACATTTCATGTTTCTTGCATTCCGTTTTTATGCACCTGTATGCAGAGTATTAAACTTCAACTTAGAAAATTGTATGTTATGTTGTTAACCTCGTATACGCCCAGGTATAGAAAATTAAATCAAATGATGACGTACACATGTCAAATATGAACACAGTTGTAACTTAGAAATTTTTATATTATGTGGTTTATTCACATAATTATATCCCCAGTTAATTAGTGAACCTTCTTAAATTCCAATTCCTAGAGAAAAGTATACACATATCCTTTTTTCACCCATTAACCCTCATTATTTGGCACAAGTGAACTACACTGTATGTAGTTTGCTAATTCTATAATGGGCTCCTGCCAACTCAACTATTTTTGTTCACATCAAGTTTGTATTACAATAAATATGTGGTGCTCACATCCTGATTGTTTTGGTTGCTAATTAATCCCTTCAGTACGATGTCTTCTTATCTATTTTATTCTGGCTACTGCCAAACGATTTTATTCATGTGGGGACGTTCCATCTCATAGTCAAGGGGTTAAACAAAACTTCGCTGCTTCTATAAGATATAGATTGAAACATTCAAAATCTGTATGTTCATAAATGCCCCTTTTGTGAAGGAACCTCTAACTTAGAACATGAATTCATCCTCCTCTCATCCTATTGTAACGTTAGTTTTTTCATCTGGCTAGTGCTAGACTATTACATCCAGTTGATGAAACCCCGTCAGTATTGTTAAAGTAATATCATGCATTGTAATCTGTCCCAACTGATAAACACTTGCCATCTTCACACCCAGCTCCCCCACCCCACTCTCCCTCACACACAGTAAGATGTCTACCCTCACATATCTCTCTCCTTTCCTTCCCTCTTACTAGCATATGCTTCGAATTCACACTTCAGAGTTCAGGGTTCACAACCCTCAGGGAGAGAGAGGATTGGCAACGCTAGGTGGTAAACGTGGGGGTGGAGCCAACTGTACTGTACACACTTACCTCAGAGTTATATTCTCCCCTCCCCCACAGCGTGTTTACTGCAGATGCAAGAGATACAAGATGTATGTTGTGAGTTCCTCAAGCAACAGTTGCATCCCTCTAACTGCCTTGGGATCCGTGCATTCGCTGACACCCACTCCTGCAGGGACCTCCTCCGGATAGCTGATAAGTTCACCCAACATAACTTCCAAGAGGTGAGAATTTTCTATATATAAACAACAACAAAAATAATCCTGAATGATGGCAGGGAAATACATAACTGGCTAGAGTTGTTATAAAGCATAAAGGATTATATTTTAAGGTTAAGGAATAATAAAGTGAAAATTTTATTGCTCTTGGGTTCAAAATGGATAGTTACAAAAGTGTGTTTATGTATTTTTATTTATTTATTTTTATACTTTTGGCAGAGAGGTTTTGGGGGATGGTTTTGTAGTGGACTAAACCAGATTTAATATTGCGTGACCTTACTGTAGAATGGGAACATCATAGCAGAATATGCCCCCAATTGCAACCTTGAGAGATTATGTTATGGAAATTGAAAGAAGAATCTGTGTTATTCATAATATTGGCTGGTCTATGACATAATAAGGAAAGATTAATAAACATGAGAAAATAAAAAAAAATATTCAAATGTCTACCTTGATTTTACAGGTAATGGAAAGTGAAGAATTTATGGAATTACCTGTGAATCAGTTAATGGATATTATCTCAAGTGATGAGCTCAATGTCCGGTCAGAGGAGCAAGTGTTCAGTGCTGTCATGGCCTGGGTGAAATATAATGTCACAGAGAGAAGACCTTATCTTGCACAGGTAAGTTGTGTTGAGGGGAGTTATATATTTTGTTTCAGTTCAATACACACTTGGTAATGATGTGTATGAATGTATTATGTGAGTTATATTGTGGTAAGTTCACTAGGAGAGCAATATGTAAATCACATTATTAGATGAGAAATTCCATATATCTTAGAGTCACACTATTGGATAAACTTATACTACAGACAGGCTGGGGGGTTAACATTGTAGAATATTGATATTATAATTCTTGTGTTGCCTCAGTCAATATATCCTTTCAGGTTTTGGAACATGTTCGACTACCACTGCTCAGTCCAAAGTTCCTAGTGGGCACCGTTGGCTCTGATCTTCTCATAAAGAGTGACGAGGTAAGTTACATGTGCTACTGTTTTCATGCTTTTGACATAAAGGATTTTGTCTGATTTCCTCATGGAGTTATGACCCGGTCTTGCCAGCCATTCCCACCCTGTGAGTTGGTGTTAGGAAGGGCATCCAGCCATAAAACTTTGCTTCAACATGCCTGATGGTAATTGGATCATCAGAGCTCTATTCATCCTTTGGTCTCTGCTGGATTTTCAGGGCTGTCAAACAGAACCCTAAACACTACAATCACGAAGAACTATTTGTTGATGAATTTGAAGCAAACAGGCATAAGTCAGTCATTTGTCTACTATGATGAGATGTATCAAGTAACACATGTATATGGAGCAAGTAACATGATCACTAGATTAGGATATAAGTACCTCTGGCAGTATGCCCTTCAAGTAGATGTGAACAAAACTATATATAAAGTGTGTGGACAGACATTTGACCACACACCCCAACACTACACTTTAGACTGTGAGAAAATAGAACCTTTTTGGCACAGGTACAAACATAATGTGTGTACAATGGCACAGCACTCTGTCTCTGATGGCAAGATAATTGATATATTAAAACTGTATCCACATTTTGTACCGAGTAGGTGAGTAAATACCGGTGTTTATCTCTGTTGTTCATTTCTAGGCTTGTCGTGATCTGGTTGATGAAGCAAAAAATTATCTCCTGTTGCCTCAAGAGCGGCCCCTCATGCAGGGTCCTCGCACCAGGCCAAGAAAGCCAATTAAAACCGGGGAGGTCCTTTTTGCAGGTAAGATGATGGGGTTACGTGAGTTTTTATCGTAAGTCTTTGGAATTTAGAAAAACTTTTCATCTTAAATTGGATAAAGTATTCACTTATTTGTCAAGCTTCAAGTAAGATAGACATAAAGTCATATTAGGTTCATATGGTCTTTCCAGGACTCATTATTCATTTTCTTGCCATCAAGTTATGTGTCATTTGACTTGTGATATATTGGACTCAGAACTCCCCCCCCCGAGCTGTTGTTCCTGCCATCTCCTTTAATACACAGGTTCAATTTGCTTATTTGTGTTTTATGGCTTCAGCAGTTTGTGGGGCTTCACGTTTTTGGTAGTTATAAGCGACATACTGAATCCTTGACCAGGTAGTCTAGCATTCTTGTCTGGTCGTTATATTTTGGTGGTTTGGAAAAAATACTAAATAATGATCCTATAGAAATCCTCTTTTATGTGAAACGGTTGTGTATGTTTTAGATTGGATAAGTGAAATAGATTTGAAAAATGAACTAAGAGTAATTCAGAGGAGTTAAAATTTTCGAATAGTCCTTGTGATGATTCTCTTCGGTCTTTTGCAATAGAATTGTTGTATGCAGCACTTAGCAGATACACAGATTCACAATTACATAACAGTATTGGGGAGAAACAAATTAAATCAGAAGAGTCAGTACAGCACGTGCCATCATATTTTACATATTTGTAATCACCATGTTTTATTTATTTACTTTTCAGTCGGCGGATGGTGTAGTGGAGATGCCATAGCCTCTGTTGAGAGGTTCGAGCCCACAACCTGTGAGTGGCGCATGGTAGCACCCATGAGTAAGAGGCGCTGTGGGGTGGGTGTGGCTGTGTTGTCCGACCTGCTCTACGCTGTGGGGGGACATGATGGACAGTCTTACCTTAATAGTGTTGAGAGGTGAGTTCCCAGTCATTTAATTTAGACACCTCAAGGATAAATACGAAATTAAGTACAGTAAGGGTTTATTAAGGGAAAAAGTTGCCCTTGTTAGAACAGTTTGGAGAGTGAATATAGTATATGTAAGAATAAGGTGTTAATGAGTGTTTGACATGATAGAATGAGGAGTTAATGGGTGACACAAGGTATTTGTAGATGATTTTTTGTGTGTGTGTGTGTGTGTGTGTGTGTTTGGGAGCCCTGTTGATATAAACTGCAGATAACATATAAAGAATAGAATAATGTACTGTATGCTAGATATATATAAATTTTAAAATGTTTAGTGATATCTGTATGGTTGCTGGCAAAAAATGAAATTATAATAAAAATAACATTCTTTCGTGCAGGTACGACCCACAAACTAACCAGTGGCTGTGTGAGGTGGCCCCAACAAGCACCTGCCGTACCAGCGTGGGTGTGGCGGTGTTGGACGGGTATCTGTATGCTGTTGGCGGACAAGATGGTGTGTCTTGTCTTAATGTGGTGGAAAGGTGAGTTGATAAAGAATCTATTTGTCCTTACTGTTCCTGTAATAATCTTGACTACCTATCATATACATCCAGTGGTGTTATATGCTAGGTTGGAGACAGTCTATATGTTATGGGAAGGACAAGGGAGGGAGGTCTACTCTAATTGGGTGGCATGAAGGCTCTATTTTTTTAATGGACACCCTTCAGAGATGAGCTAGCCAGAGGAGTGAGATATTGTCGGTAAGATAAAAGATACACTGACAACAATAATTATACAGGATGCTGGTAGGATTATTTAGCTGTAAATTAAAGAAATATTTTAGTGTGCTGTAATTTGGGTTTGTTTTTTCTTAAAGGTATGACCCCCAGAGTAACCGGTGGACAAAGGTTGCATCCATGAACACAAGACGATTAGGAGTGGCTGTCGCTGTTCTTGGTGGATTTCTGTATGCTGTAGGGGGATCAGATGGCCAGAGTCCTCTTAACACAGGTATTATTAGAAGATGGAAAATTTTGTAAGCAATGTGTGTGTGTGTGTGTGTGTGTTGTGCAGCATACTATGTGGCTGTTCATGTGCTCAAAACCCATAATTGAATTTCTAGAATACGAGGTCTTAGATTCACTGATTAATGTTCCACTCTTGCCACTCTCCTTGATCTTCTCTGACTATCACCAATAGTCCATAAACTAGATTCACTAAGTCCAAGGGCAGGCTTAATATCAGCTGGACATTCACCTCTCTCATAATATTTGAGTATTGTACACCCATCTTAACCTCAGTGGTGATGGCCCTGACGCTTAGCAGTGTCATCTTTTCATTAGCTCGAGAATGACTAGACCACGTTAGATGATCAATATTACCCATATGTATTTGTAATAGTTGGCCTCTGTATGTGTCGGCAAAGGTCCCTTCATCCAAACAGTACTGTTTTCACGACTGCAGTGTGTTTCATCCTCAAAAGGAGACTTAAGATTAGAACGTTAGAATACTTAGCTTTATTCGGCCTATCAGTAACCTCTAATATATTTATTATACCAGGAAATATTGACCATTTTAATTTCAGTCGAGCGCTACGACCCAAAGATGAACAAGTGGGCGATGATGCCGGCAATGAGTACTCGTCGGAAACACCTAGGCTGCGCAGTGTACAACAATATGATCTATGCCGTTGGTGGGAGGGACGACTGTACCGAACTGTCCAGTGCCGAGCGTTATAACCCCCACACCAACCAGTGGAGTCCTATTGTTGCGATGACATCAAGACGAAGTGGAGTAAGTCATGATAATTGTCCTGTTTTTTCTCTCTTCGTGTCTGTGTTCTCAGTCAAGTCATCATATTGTTTAAATCTTTTGTTACTTCATATCCTGTTATTTAACCTGTTGTTTTTTTCAAATTGATTACAGTAGTTATTATTATTTAGTCTTTAATTGATTATGGATGAAAGTATTTATTATATCATGTTGAAAATAAAGATAAAACAGCAATTATCTTCAGCTCGTCGTGAAAGCATTACCGTAACAGTAAGTGGAAAGAATTTTGATTTTTTCACAGCCAGACCATGGAGGATCAGTTATTCATATATTGACAGTTTGTTTTATTTTTTATTCATACCTTTTTTTTTAGGTTAATGTATGTGCTATTATGTATGATCTTTTGTTGTTTTATTTTTATTTATACTGTACTTTTTTGTAAGTTGGCATTTGTGCTATTTTGAATGAGCTTTTGTCAGTTTGTATATACAGTACAGTGGTCCCTCGATTAATGAGCACAATTGGTTCCACAGAATCAGACGTTAACTGTAGCTATTATTTCAATGGGATATTGGTTCTAACTCACAGAAAAGTATACATACAAATTATTATATGCCAGTAATAGAATTAATAAAACATTAAATATAAACTAATTACAGTACTGTACTGTACAGTAATATATAAAAAACAATAGAATATTGTATTTTAATTTACTTTGAGGTGTGTATGTCGTATTCCCGGCGCCTTTGTTTACATAGCGGCAGCACAAACAGCTGATTGTAGACAGTCGTTGATGACATGCCACATTCTTTACAGAGTGCATTAAATTTCTGCACTGTATATTATCAATATGTTAACTAAATTTCAGAATGACCAATAATTTTAATATAAAAAATGCAAAAATGTTCAAGAGCACAACATTCTTGATATTTACTCCACTGGAAACGAATGTAAGCATAAAACCGATTACTGTATTGGCGGACTAGCCGATCAGCTGATGCACACACCAAGGCGTGTTTCTCGTAAGGCTGTAGTTAATAGAAGCTGTACTCGTTAATAGAACTGAAAATCCTTATGGGAGCTAATTCATTAACCAAAATCTCGTAAATTGAACCGCTCGTTGATGGAGGGATAACTGTATGTACTTTTTTCTAGGTTGGTGTATGTGATTTTCTATGTCTTTGGTTTTGCAGGTTGGCTTAGCGGTAGTCAATGGAATGCTGTACGCTGTCGGTGGTTTTGACGGAACGACCTACCTCAAAACCATCGAGGTGTACGACCCAGATCAGAACCACTGGCGGTTGTGTGGCTCCATGAACTACCGTCGCTTGGGCGGTGGCGTAGGCGTCGTCAAGCTTCCACACAACGAGGCCCATCTCTGGTGATTAAACGAAGGGCTAGAATTCTGGCTTGGGGTAACTGTCAGTGGAAAATTAGGTATTGGAAATAGTGGACTTTAAGGTATCAGAGTTATTGGAAAGGAGTACAATACAGTAGTGTGTTTCAGATGTTGTTACTGTAATCATGTTAATAAGTGTATATTTAATATGGTAATTAACCTATAATGCATCATAACCTATCAAATAATAATAAGAAACTGACTAAGCAACTTTTGTGTGTGTATACATAGTTAATACTATATAAGAAGTATTATACACGTGAAAGTTGTTTCGATATTACTGTAGGCGAGTATTAACTACAAGTCGGTGATGCAAAAAACAAACAAAAACACAAGGTTCGAGTTGTGTGTGTGTAGATTATGATGGTTGAGTTCAGGAAAGGAAGAGTAAGATTAGTAAAAACAACTAAATTTCTCTGATAACCAGGAAGATCGACAGACTCCCAGATTTTATGCTAGAATTCTGCCTGTTCATATCACAGACTAACAAACATATGACGAAAACAATAATTAGTATAATGTGGACCAGAAATCGTGGACCATGGAGCATCGTCCACGGCCAAATCCTTATAACTCACCCTAAGATCACAACAAAGATTATATTTTAAGTTATCCAAATGTCTGGTGTTGTGAGCTTGGATGTATCGTACAAGCACTCAGCGTTATGTGAGGGATTTATGATAGATGACCATTACAAGTCAGTGATTATATTGTAACATGACCTGAATATCGAGGGCTGTATTGATTTAATTTCAAGTTCATGATTTGAGCTCAATAACAGCCAATAATATGGCTTTATTTGAAAATTTATTTTATTATAATGAAATTTTATTTAATTTTTATACAGTAAGGCCCTTCCATCCTTTCATTTAAATCAATATTTTTTCTACTTATTTTATAGTTTTCATCTAGTTAAGGAAGTAAAGGATAAATAAAACTCATCAATTGTACCGTTGTCCCTCTTAAGAGTTTTCCATTGTCTTGGGGATGAATGTGCCAATCTTTCCTATTGAGTGAGAGTAGAGACCAGTTGCAACCTTATTTCATCATAAATTGAAAAACAAAAATTAACAAAAGCATTTCTTCCCATTTATGAAAACCTGTGGAAGTTGTCAGGTGATTTTCTCGAGTATTAATGCTGGGTGGACGGTATGGTTGTGACGAGAGTGCTGAAGGGGCGGAGCTGACCTTTTTGTGGGTGATAGTTGATCTCTGCCGTATATTCCTTGGGTTTTTGTTCATGTGTCTCTATACTGTTGGCCCACTAGTATACAGCAGGGTGGCTTATGTGGAACCTGTGCCATAGTCATTGTAGATTTTTAGTTATCTGTGATGGGACACTGCCTTCCTTCACACATTCATAATTAACACCTTTATTATTATTATTATTATTATTATTATTATTATTATTATTATTATTATTATTTGTGTTTCTCCTGCCACATTACCATTAGTACTTCCAGTTCATTTTATTTTTCATTACTTCTTTCTTCATTTTATTGCCTTTGGTGAAATATAAACTAAGTCTTGTAAAGTTGCACTTGCTGTCACTGTCCTTTTCTCATATGTCACTGAAAAGAAAATCCACGCTGGCTTATTTTATACGCACGTTAATGGGGGATTTCCTGTCTTAGAAATAATGGATTATTCTATTATTTGTATCTCTGTCTTTTCCTCCCCTTCAACACCCCGCACCTACTGCCCCAGAACTATTTTTCCTCGCACAAACGGCCATCAGACAGTTCAACATCCTCGTTTCACTAAGAGGCAGTCAATTAAAAGATCGATTTATTCTGAATGGTTTATTTTATCTCGGTATTGAATAAGAATCTCAGACGCAGTAGTTTTATTATTAGTATCTCCTGTGTTGTTGGTTACATATACATACATCTCCATCATAGCTGCCGGGCGTATATATGCTTGCTTTCATTTCTTCCATTTCTTTTTTTTTTTTTAATTTAGGTTTTAGTTGTACTGTTTGTCACAATTGTTGATGTGATTTTTAACATTTAAAGCATCTTTTAATTGTTTTCCATCTTTTATTTGTGTTTTGCTACAGTATATTTTTAAGTACTCTTTATAACTGTCATCCCTTCTCTGTGTAGGTTATGAGGTGTTTCTTTGTGTGTAAGTTCATTTTCATACCTTGTCTGGGCTTCATCCATCCCCACGGTCCTTTCTTAATAACTATTGCTAATATATTCTCCAGGTCCATAAACATCACAAACTCTAGTTTCTGCTTTTCAGTAAATTTTAGAGGATGAGATATTCACAGGGCTGTGTTCATTTATAATTCCCCCATACTAGAATGTTACTTTTTCTGTTTCATTTACCCTCTGTGTATCCACCCTGCTGTATATATATATCTCCAATATTTACTTCTGTTTGTGATGGAAGCTTCACTCTTTTACTCCTTTAACTAGCACCCATCCAGTTCCTTGGAGAGTCAAACTCATGAATCTGAAGCATTTAAGGACAGAATAATGAATCGGTCTCCTGCTTCGGGTTCATGAGTATGAATCTTGGGGTTGGTGGTTCAGGAGGAGAGGCAATCGGACTTTTGTATTTGACTGTACATTATCTTCCTCTCATCCTCAAACTACTGTACCTGTACTTCAGAATCATCTCATTCCTTTCAGTCATTAGGTTCATCACTTCCAAAAGGTATTTACTCTACTCAAGTCACCTGAAGGTCTGAGTGAGGAGCAGATACCGTTAAATACCTTTCTGAGTAAGACGATACAAACACTAGACCTTAATGTTGGTGAGCTGAACATGCTACTTATGTTCAATACATTTTTACACACTGGACTATAGTGGCTGAACACTGACCCGACACTTACCCAACACATAAGTATGATTACATCCCCAAACATTAACCACTTTTTATCGTAGAAGAACAGATAGTTTTAATTATGGAATATGAGAATGAAGTTGTGAATTTGATTTTGGGGGGGACTTTACAATATATGGATAATGATACAATGTTTTCTCTGAGATACAGCAGAGAGGTGGGAGAAGTTCAGAAGGATTTGTTACTAGTATGGTACAGTACCTCATTTATTTCTTAGTAATATTGCTATCCCTATTACACCAATTTACTGAATGTATGATATATATTTACAAGGGTTCCATCATATACTGTATATCCCTCCAGGTAAATCACTTTTCAGGGTTCCTCTGATGTAGTTAATATGTCTTTTGAGTTACCATTTATACCAGAGGAGTTGTCTTGTTTGCATCATCCTCGTGCTTATAGGGGATTATCAGACAGATATTTACTCTTATGTTCCAAGTAATTGCAACTAAAAATATAAACTACGGTACAGTATATGTATGGGTATATAAATTTCATATTGTTCCCATTAAACCTATTAAAGATACTGAAAAATGACTCTACAGACCATTGATGTATTTAATAACTACTGTCGGAGTTACTGAACTGAAATTCCATATTAAAAATTATGATAATCTTTAACAGGATCTAAGTAGTATTAAAGTAACAACACAGTTATTGATGATATATGTTTATGAATACTTACCTGGTGTGAAGTAACATAAAGGGCAAGTAATTCAGAAGAGATCTTGTACAATGTTTTAAAGGGGAAGACTCAGGAGGATTTTTTTAATTATGTTCAGATGATATGCTTCTCTGGTCACAACAAAATATTCTGAAGCTTTACTCGGAGGTGCACAAAACGTTGGCCACATCTTGGATTTTACTCTCATTAAAATAAGCTCTTGGTTGGGTGATAAACATGTTATAATGAGGTGTACAATGTGTAGGGTTAATTAAACATGATAGTACTGCACAGGTAGTTTTGATTATTTAAATGTTTCAACGAATAAGAGTTAAGTTTCGCAAAGCATTCGTGGAAGAGGAAAGTTTGCCTTGTGTAAAGAAGAGCTGCGTTAATGTGAAAAGTAGTGTTTACTGTAGTGTATGTGCGTGCATTTTGATCTGTAGAATTGTGTTATTTTGTAGATGTTTTTTGCTCAATAATTAATAGTTGTCATTTTGCTGCCATGTGTTCCTTGCTACAGTAATGAAGGCTACAGGTACGTGAATTTGTAGAATGTCATAACTATAGGGACCATTGATGCTGGGTGGAAAAGTTGGGAGAACAATATTATGTAGAAACTTGGAGGGATGCCAAACTACATTTAATTACAATGTACAATGATGTACCATGCAGTCATTACATTATACAGGAAGAGAAGGAGAGTAATATGTACAGTAACTCTTGACTTATGATTCAGAAGAAAGTATTATTTCATCATATAATGCACTGGTAAGAGTATAAGTATGATGATTATAAGTCCTTGTCATGATACTCTCACAAGTTCATAATTATGTTTCATCCAGCTATTTTCCTCTTCTTTGTTTTGTGTTGTGTGCTCAATTAAATTATTTGTCAGAAAGATGGTAGCACACAGTATATACAGTACCTTATTGGTTAGTGTATTGTACATGCTTACTGCGCTTCTCTGCATTGGTATTGTTCCTCAAAAAGTCGTTTGTCAAGAGGAGAGTTACCTACCTGTATGCACAAATGCTCCTCTGAATATAATTGACTGTCATATGTAAAATGTCATCATTTTTTTGCATAGAAGCTGCAAGTAGACCAAAACGGGATGAAGTTTTACACAATGTATTAGTGAAGCATAAGATATGTTTTTTTGGATTGTTTAGTATAATGATTGGTTTGCAGATGGGGGTATATGTGCAGCACCAGCAGTTATAGTACAGTAGACTAATAATTATTCATATATTATCCAAGGTTAAGAAATAAAATACCATTATTTTGATATTTTTGGAGGTTCACAGTCATGTATGGTTTATCAAATAGTAAAGTAAAATGCCACAAATATGAAATTTTTTGGATAAGAGGCCTATTGTATATATAGAAATTTATATCAATACATAAATAAGTGCTAATATGAATAAATAACTACATACAGTACTATTTCATAAAGAACAACTAGCTATGATGAGAAATAGGTACTGCATACTCTCACACAGACAAGAGCAGAGAATGAAAAGTGCCAGAACAATTGCCGCAGAGCACTTCTGGGAATGAAAGATTTCTGGATAACATGGCGACTCTCAAAGCCTGAAAAACCCCCTCATCCCCAGAATTTTCCGTGTAACGAAAAATTTTATGAGAAGCTCCTGAGTGATGCAATATTTCATCTCTCAGAGCCGGAAAAAAATCCCTCATCCCCGGAATTTTCTGGGTAACAGAAAAATATTCACAGAAGTTCCAGAAATTCCACATTACATGTACATCATCTCTCGAACCTGGAAAAAATCCCCCATCCCTGAAATTTTTTTAGGTAATGGGAAAATTTTCTCAGAATTTTCCAGTTAATGTGCCCCTCGGAAACTCGTTCCCAAAGCCAGAAGTTTCTGGAAAATTCCGGCTTTGGGAACGATTTTCCGAGAAAATTTCAATTCCAGTTACAAGTACAGTAACAGAGAGTTCCGGGTTTGAGGGATTCCGGCTAACGGAGATATTACTTTAACATACAATGGTGGCTGTGTTTATAATGGACAGTCCTCTAGTGCTTAAGCTGACAAAAAATATAGTCGAGATATTTATGCTTCAGGCTTTTTATTTAACATTAAATATCCATTACTATACTGGAACTCAAAAATATGCAAAATAATGTCCAAAATTTCAGCTGAGTTGAGTGGAGATGCTGCTTGGTACTGTACTGTATTGGTAAAGTCTGAGGAGCCATCACTCAGTTGATTGTGTGAATCCTTGATTGATCTGAAAAGTGTCATTTTACACTTTGTTAACATTAATCAGAAAATTGAGCAAACTGTGATCTCGTGCTGTGCATATTATGGTATTATTGAAATTTTTTAATTATTTAATTTTTGATTGTTTTATTTGGGTTTTTGATAATGAAAATTGTGCCCTAACTGATACTCCAGGAATGTAACTAATTTTCCTCTCCCCTTAGTTCATTGGTTTGGTTATCCATAAGTAACCCAGGAGCATAACCCCTGAATAATGAAGCGTGTACTGTAAATAATTAGGAATTAACCAGAGTGTTATTTCCAGGTAAAATTAGCAGTTTTCATTATGGTAAATACTGTGTCGTTTATAACGTGTAAACCATTTTGGCTACTTCAGTTTTAATTAATTTAATGGGATATGCACGGTACAGTATTATGTGTTGCATTCACCACCTGAAGACTTGTGTATGATTCTTGGTTCAGACAAATTTGGCAGTTTTTCTTGCAGGTTTTTATGTTACAAGACACCCAGTAATATGAAGCCTCCTATTCACATGCCCAGGTTAGCAAACATACTGCTTGGGGATCCATATTTGTGTATCTTGCAATCCAGACAGCCAAATTAATGAGGCCTCGCTTCATGTGCAGGTCGTTGAACAGGTCAGAATTGGGCTGTGTTCAGTATCACTCAAAATAATAAGTGTATAATGGTCCCCCGAGAAGTGAGATATAAAATAGAATAGCAATACTATATTAAGAAGCCCTTGATTGATTAATTTAAAGTAGTGACTTGATTTTTTATTTAATCCATATAGTAGTCTAAAAGTAAACAAAAGAACAACATAGCAGGCACAGTAATCGTTCATCCATTCTAAATTTCTGGGTTATTTTGTCGTATTGGATATTGAAAGGTTGGGAGCGAAATAGTTGCTTATTAATTTAAAGTCTTAGGAAAATGTAAGTTGGAGAATGTAGCTTACCTTCATTACATGTTCAATGCTTGTGCGTCATATATGAATTTTTTTTTTTTTTTAGGTTGGTTCAGTATTATGCTCTATGTGATTTACCTCTCCAAGGCAGGAATCTTGTTTTTACACATCTCCTGAGTAGTCTATGTGATAAGCTTAATGCAAAACTCTGGTGTAGTACTATAACACAGTGCCACAAGAGCCGAAAAAGCCTGCCTGTCAGTCAGCTTTTTAGTGTGGGTTTATCTGTTTATATAAATAGACTTGTACATATATACAGTACTATATATATACATACTATGTCAATTGTGAATATTTTGATAAATCTATATAAGGATACTAATGTGAGTAGGTATGGTAGATGAAATGCTTTAATGGCTGTAGCGTAGAGTTTTCTGCTTATTGAGTGAATAAATGAAGAAATATTTCCAGAATGTGTGAGAGAGAAAGAGTGAGTGTGTAAAGGTAGAGCAAGATTATCTAAATAGTATGGAAGATTTGGTAGTTTGGTGAAGATGGGTTCCTTAGATGGTGTATGTACTGTACTGTGTTTTATGGCTGATTGATGTTAGTACAGTAAAGATATGTTTCTGGGATAAGAAAATGGATTAAGTTAATGTTTGCAAAGGATTTTTCAAGGAAGTTTTTATTTTTTTATTTTTCAGAAGAAGTTGAGAATATTTTTGTTTTGTATTTTTTCTGAGGATTCTAAACACTGAGGTGAATGTTTAGTTAATGATATAAATCCCATCTAATTAAATTAAAAAAAAAAAGTGTGGCTGGTCATAGATAAACTTTTTGGATGTACTGTATATGGTTGGTGTGTCATTGATACCTGTATACAGGGTAGACACCAAAGAGTAAGAAAATAATGGTAACATCAGCGCCATGAAGTAAATCTGTCGAACATGTATTTAATTTTTAGCAATTTTCATTTGTGTATGGGGACTCCTCTCTCCTGAATTAAATATTAAGTGTCTCCCCACATCGAAGGGTTTATGGGAGATAGTGTACTAACCACTTATGTATGGGTCATCTCTCTCTGCTGAATGAAATCGTCAGGCGTTAAGTCAAATTAAATACCCTGTATATGAAAGTGGCGTCCCCGTAGTGAAGGGGTTAAATCAAATGAGTCGGTAATATACCCAAACAGAGATTTTTAGTTAATTTAATTTTGTGAAATAAAAGATTGTCACATCAGCTGATCAGGACATGAGCACACACAGCCACAAAAACAGTAACTGATAATTTTTACCAGATTCCTCCCTTTTTGTAGGATGGGTCTAATAATATCTAAACTTTCATGAATTTTTATATTATTTTATATTTCCTGATGAATGACACAGTTTTCAGATGGTGAAGTAATTTTACAATAGTTATTTTAAATCAATCTTAATTATTTATATTGCACTGACATAATAAAACAATGTATTGTTACCAAAGTTGGAACTAAATATTTTAGGTTGAAGAGATGATTTTATTTTTATTGAGTTTATAATGGCCAGTGCATCTTTTCATTACCTTAACCTGCACAGACATCTCTTCAGTGTATGTGGAAGGATAGAAATTTAGAATGGCCAATACCAGGTAGTTTTAGTTGGAATAAAATAATAGTAAGAATAACAATACCACACGAAGCCAAATACTTCAAATTCCTTCCTTGCGAAAACTGGCCACTTATCTCACAGAAAGTCACGAAGCTGTGATGATATTTTGTAACGTTAAGTTGACATAGAAGAGAAGTTTGGTTTGTTAACTTTGAGTGCTATCAGCAAGAGAGGTTCAAATTCATAGCATTTGTTTCATCGCCCATCAAACTCGTGGAGAAGCAATACAATAATGATTCGCAATAGATAAGTATGATATTGAGTCATATACAGTACAGTATAGGTATGCCTTGACCTTATGTCCAATAAGTAATGAAAATATACTTGACCTGACCCTAACCTTAAGAAATGTTAAGAAGTATTATTTCAGTCATCATGTAATTGTGGACATTCAGATGTTTAATTTGCTCACCAGACTGTGATTGTGTTCCTCCTGTAATTGTTTTTCTAGAGAGACGAGCAATAACATTATATATATACAGCATATT